TATTGTGATTTAGTGCTGAACGTTGTGTGTGTGTGTGTGTGTGAGAGAGAGAGAAGTCCTATGCAGGGAAGCCAGTAAAGGATTTCATTAATATTTCTATATTTTATTTTGGCAAACAAAGTGAGTGAATTCTCTAACCAATCAATGACTTCAGTTGACTGATAAAGCAGTGAGCATGTGTAGTGGAACTTTATAACAGCAGACAGACACTGCAGTCAATACAGTGTAGCTCCCTCTCAACTACATTAAAACCTCTTAAAAATCTGACCCTTTTTTTCAATTTTCGCCTAAAATGTCATACCCAAATCTAACTGCCTGTAGCTCAGGACCTGAAGCAAGGATATGCATATTCTTGATACCATTTGAAAGGAAACACTTTGAAGTTTGTGGAAATGTGAAATTAATGTAGGAGAATATAACACATTAGATCTGGTAAAAGATAATACAAACAAAAAAACATGCGTTGTCTATAATTTATTTTTGTTCCATCATCTTTGAAATGCAAGAGAAAGGCCACAATATAATATTGCAGTTTAGGCGCAATATCGCAGTGTGTGCAAAGTTTCAGATTGATCCAGTGAAGCATTGCAATACTGGACTATTTTGTATCAAGTCTGCCCAAATGTGCCGAATTGGTCAATTGATACATTTTCAAGTACATAACTATAGAGAACATACATAAATGATATGGTAATACAAAATGTAAGTTCACACACTCCCAGGAATGTCATACATGTTGGATCCTTAGTTTGTACACTGACTTTCACTAATCTAGATGGCCGGGCGGGGTGGGTGTGGAGCCAGAGACAGCAGGGGTTCAAACTGTAGAACCCAGTTCCTACATTTGAATATAAAAACGGATTTGATCAAACATAATTATGCTACAATATATCTCTGGGACCCTTAGGATGACAAATCAGATCAAGTTTACTGAATGTAAGTACATTATTTACCTTCAGAGGTGAATGTAAAAAAACCAGCTGCCATGATACGTTTTTTTGTTGTTGTGCACTCTCCTCAAACAATAGTATGGTATTTTATAACTGTAATAGCTACTGTAAATTGGACAATGCAGTTAGATTAACAATAATTTAAGGTTTCTGCCCATATAAGACATGTCTATGTCCTGGAAAGTTTGCTGTTACTTACAACAGTCATGCTAATCACATTAGCGCACGTTAGCTCAACCGTCCTGTATACGGGACACCAATCCCGTAGAGGTTAATGACAGCAGGCAGGCAGCACACAGTTGATTCTGCATGGTAGTAGAGCTGAGTTCAGACCTGCAGGTTGTAGAGTGAGATAAGTGAAGCGCCATGCCTCCCAGGGTATGGAAGGAGAGGGGAAGCAGGGGGAAGACAAGGGATTTGTGAGACTTCTTAATACGTTTTCGTCAGCTTTTCTCAGACCTCCCAACTTGTTCCTCAGACCAAGGTCACAATCCTGACATTCCCCTGCTCTGAATTTCTTGGCGGACAGGAAAACCGACCTGGTGACTCGGCAGACCCCCTTATGGAAGGCATGCGAGTATATGAGTGAACAGGAGGGTAAAAATATCTGTGCAACTAAATATAGCTAGCCACCCCTTTACGCAGCACTTGACATAAATCTGAATGGAGTGCACTGAAGTGCTGGTGTGTGTGGCAATGTGTGCTACAGGCCAGGGCTAGGTCAACAAGACAACGTTCAGCAACTTCTGCCCTAAGAACCTGAGCAAGACAAGTCTGCAATTCACATGTTAGATTCCAGTGGTGGAAAAAGTACTCAATTTTCACACTTGAGTAAAAGTAAAGATACCTTAATAGAAAATGACTCAAGTAAAAGTGTAAAAGTATCTGGTTTTAAATGTACTTAAGTACAGTGGTGGAAAAAGTACTCAATTGTCATACTTGAGTAAAAGTACAAAGTAAAAGTAAATACTATACATAAAATTCCTTAATTAAGCAAACCAGACGGCACGATTTTCTTGTTTTTTTTTAATTTACAGTCAGCAAGGGGCACACTCCAACACTCAGACATAATTTACAAACACATTATTTGTGTTTAGTAAGTCCGCCAGATCAGAGGCAGTAGGGATGACAACGCGTTATAATGATAGGTGAGTGAATTGGACCATATTGCTGTCCTGCCGGACCATTTGAAATGTAACAAGTACTTTTTGGTGTCAGGGAAAATGTATGGAGTAAAAAGTACATTATTTTCTTTAGGAATGTAGTGAAGTAAAAGTAAAAGTAGTAAAGTAAAGTACAGATACCCCGAAAAACTACTTAAGTACTTTACACAACTGTTAGATTCTCTCCTCCAAAAGAGTGAGAGTGTGTGTGTGTGTCTGCAATGCAGTGTGCCAATCAGAAATGCAATGTGTTGTGTTGTGTGCGTGATTATGTGTATGTGTGTGCGTGTATAATTGCTCTTGTGTATGGCCTGCAGATGAATGTCATTGCGATGTGCATCTCTGTCCCACTTGTCCGGAGTGTATCGATGTGACTGGTGATGAGTTTAGTCTGTGTGCTGGTGTCCATCCCTCACTGATAGGGTACTTGTGTGAGTGCTGGATTGTTATACCGGTAATTGCTTTGGTGTAATATTGCTTTATTGTATATGTATTACTGTCTACTAACATCAGTGACACGTGTTGTGCACAGTGGGCATATGCATGTGGGTGGTAGTTTGGAATACTTTCTGTAGCGAGTATGTGTCAGTGTGTTCTGTCTATAGGTGAGTAAGCATTCACCTCAGCAGGTGAGTATCAGATACATGAGATTTCAACCACATCACACAGTGTTTGCATGTGTTTATGGGTGTTTTCGAAGAATGTGTGTCAGTGAACCACTTTGTAAATATGCATGATTGTGATTTGTGAGTGGGTGCAGGGATGAGCTATGGTCCAGTGTGTGTGTGTGGTGTGGTGTGTGATGTGGTGTGTGGTGTGTGGTGTGTGTGTGGTGTGTGGTGTGTGGTGTGTGTGTGTGGTGTGTGGTGTGGTGTGTGGTATGGTGTGGTCCCATGCAGTGGTAGTGGGATACTGCAGTTGTTCGCTTGTCCTCTGTGCACAGGAAGAGGTGTGCACATGTTTCTGCAGAGCTCAGTGAGAGAAAACAGCACCCTTCCTGCAGCCCCAAAACTACGCTCCTCCCTCTATCTCTTTCTTTCTAGCCCTCCCTGGTTCTCTATCACACATTCACTCTTTTTATCCCTCTGCTTCCTCTCCCTCCTCCTTATCCATCTGTTTCTCTCTCATTCTCACACAGATTTCAGATCTCATCAGTCATCCGTCCAGATCCCGCAGTCATTCTCTACTCTTCTCCATCCCTCCTTTTCTCTTCATAGTATCATGTGACACATTCAGCTGCTCATCTTAGTTTCTTTCTAGATTCCTCTTACCCTTGTACACACACACACACACACACACACACACACACACACACACACACCAAACCCCCATCAGCATTCAACGTATCATTGCCCTGCGTCACTAACGGTCAATATGTTCCTCTCAATGTGGTGACTAACTCAAACCTTATCACTTACTTCTTTCACACATACATTCTCTCATCCCCTCCCTCCCCTGCTCTCTTTCTCTCCAACACTCTCTCCATCATCACAAACACCCTCCTCCTCCTCTCTGACTCTCTCTGCTGCAGTGTGGAAATTTCCAAGCAGAGCGCTGCAGTGTCTGGGCAGGGAATGAGGGAGGGACAGGAGGAGAGTGAGAGAGTGAGAGAGTGAGAGAGAGAGAGAGAGAGAGAGAGAGAGAGAGAGAGAGAGAGAGAGAGAGAGTGGGTGGGTGGATAAGGCTGCTACCTGACACAGAGCACGGCTAACCTAAGCTTCTCTAGTGAAGGACGCAGTCACGCAGCCAATGTCTCATCAGCTTCCCTAGCACACAGTGGAAAAATACAGACACAGAGGGAAAGAGAAATGGTACAGAAAGTCACCCTGTAGTACACACACAAACGCACACGCACACACACACACACACATGCACACAGACACACACACACGTCAGACATGTCCACAGAACTCGATAGCCACCATTTCTATAAACAGACCCAAACAGATATAGCATGCGTACACAGTGAAATTATACAATCTGAATTTACAACCAGAACTGAAATGGTAGCCACTAGAACAGGGGGTTCTCTATCATATAAATACCAAGGTCATGTATTCTAGGCCATGGTTCCCATTCACGGCCTTTACATTCTCTGACCCCTTATAATGCTTTGATAAGCCTGTGTAATAAGAGCTTTCCCGTATACAGACGTAGGATCTTAGTTTGAGCCAATTTGCTACAGAAGGAAAATAATCCTGCAGCAACAGTAAATGTGAATTATTATGTGGATTATATATAATTAATATACATTTTTGTAGGGGTTGATAGAGTTTTTGTTAGGGCAAATCAAGTCTGACATTTCAAAGTGGAAATTACTAAACTTTAGAAGCCTTTTTAAAACTCAAATACACTACAAGTTTGCTGTGCAGGTAAATTCTCAGCAACAAAGGAGTAATGAAATGAAGATCCTACATCTGTATTGACACACAGAGTAAGGGACTCGTCTCTAGAAATACCTGGGAGCCAGAATAGAATGGAGAAGAATTTCTGCCTACATAACAGGGCTCTCCTCCCAACCCACAGGCTCATCCTCAGCCCCAAGCTCAGCCCCATGCCCAGCCTTACCCTCAGCCCCAGCCTCAGCCCTAGCCTTACCCTCAGCCCCAAGCTCAGCCCCATGCCCAGCCTTACCCTCAGCCCCATGCTCAGACCCAGCCTTACCCTCAGCCCCAGCCTCAGCCCCAGCCCCAGCCTTACCTTCAGCCCCAGCCTCAGCCCCAATCTTACTCTCAGCCCCAGGTTCAGACCCAGCCTTACCCTCAGCCCAAGCCTCAGCCCCAGCCTCAGCCCCAGCCCACATGTTCAGCACACAGTCTTAGCACACAGTCTCAGCCCCAGACTCATGGCTAGCCCTAGCCCACAACCCCAGCCCTAGTCTACAGACTCAGCCTACAGCCCCAGCCTCAGCCTCAGCCCCAGCCTCAGCCCACAGCCTCAGCCCACATCTAGCCTCAGCCCTCAGCCCCAGCCTCAGCTCCAGCCCTAGCCTCAGGCCCTAGCCAGGAAAACTGCAGTAAATCAATAGACAGGCTCGCATTTCAGATCAATAACATTACAACATAGGAGGGTGACTGGGGCTGGTTTTGCTGCAGCCCATAGGGACAAGGCAAAAGTTGTATAAGGACAAGTGTGTGTGAGAGGGAGTGAGCTGTGGGTCGATGGCCTGAGTCAGCGGTGGAGGAGGACACTGCAGAGGCTCCTGTGGCGCAGGACGAGTCTGACACACACTCTCTCCGCTGAATACGTCACACACTCATCATACACACGCACACACACACGCATGCGCACACACAAGCCGTTTGATAACACTCAAACTCTCATACAGTTGCCCACACACAGTTTCACATTAGCATATCATTTACAGATGTAGGAAGTTAATTTGATCACTCTTTTGTTGCTGAGAATTTTCCTGCACAGCAGGAAATGCAAACTTGTAGTGTATTCAAGGTTTAAAAATGTCAGACTTAATTTGCCCCAACGAAAAATGTAGAAACTCCTACAAAAAATGTCCATTAATTATAATCCACATAACAATTCATATTTCCTGTAGCTGCAGGATTATTTTCCTGCTGTATCAAACTGGCTCAAATTAAGATCATACATCTGTACAATCCCATATACATTCCCTGGTCTCTTGTTAGGGTCTTCTACAAAAACGGATGAGCAACACGTGACTTTAGACCATTCATCTCTGTGCCACAGACATCAGATTTCACTAGTCTATGTGTGTTAAACAAAGTCCATGTAGGCTGGGTCTGCCCTGTTGACTGTGCTGTAACCCCCCCACAGAGCCACCCGGTCTGGGGCCTGTGACAAGGAGGGCGAGAGGTCGTTGAGGTTGGATAACCTGGCGGGGGGTAGTGGTGGTAGAGGATAGGTATCTGCGATGGTGATGTAAAAAGCAGTGGATGATGTGCATGTGAAAACCCCCAGTTTTTCGCCTTCTTTCCATGGAGGGGAAATAGGACTCGGGGGTTTTACCGGGACTCTGGTCAAGCCACCCCGCTAGCACCCGGTGGGATCTGGGCCAGCGCCGGCCACCTGTGTTGTCATATGTCCCAGTGTCACCCATCCACCCACCACTGTCCTAGAAAACACAAGGACACAAACAGGGTGACCCCCAGGCAGAGAGGGAGACAGTAGGTGGAAACCTCTAGAGAGAGTCTGCAATGTATAGGTTGCAGTTGGGTAACAAGTTAGCTAAGCCACAGAGAGAGGGTCTGCAGTGCAAACACCATTGTATGTGTACCTGTGTGTGTGTGTGTGTGTGTGTGTGTGTGTGTGTGTGTGTGTGTGTGTGTGTGTGTGTGTGTGTGTGTGTGTGTGTGTGTGTGTGTGTGTGTGTGTGTGTGTGTGTGTGTGTGTGTGTTTGTTTGTTTGTCTTTCTCTGCCCGCCAATGTCTGTTATGTAAGGGTGACCATTGAGTCCCAACCAGACCATATAGGCTGAGAACTAGTCAAGCACAAGGCATATTTGAATAAACTATTCAGTCTCTGCATGCCCTCTATAGTTATAGCCTGTCTGACTGTAAATGGCTGTTGGATTATGGCCATCTTACATAACTGTGACCTCTTAGGCTTTGCCCGCCACCACCACTACCACCACCAACACAACTTAATCCCTCAGATTAAGAGAGGGAGAAAACAAAAGGAGAGATGTGTAGGGAGAGGTTGTTTGGCTGCCAAGGAATAGCAGGCATTTGGCCCAGTCACTCTCTCAGAGAACACAGACCGGCTGAGAACAAAAGAGGACAGCAGACTGGGGACATGCCACCATAGAGGAGAGAGAAGGGCTTAGCTTCTTAACACATGCACACCTTTCTCAATGAGTGTTAGTGCACTATAGAGTTTGGCTTAGACAGTGCAACCGTGCAATGCCATAACAGTGGTGAGGCCCTGTGTAGCTCAGTTGGTAGAGCATTGCGCTTGCAACGCCAGGGTTGTGGGTTCATTTCCCACAGGGGGCCAGTATGAAAATGTATGCACTCACTAACTGTAAGTCGCTCTGGATAAGAGCGTCTGCTAAATCACTAAAATGTAAATGTGATGAGTCAAGTATTCAACTAACAAGTAGCTTTTGCAACAAAGTGAGATGAAACACTCTGCCATCCTCCACACTAGGCCTCTCCACATCCCCATACGTACACTCTGGAGGGACCTAGACAGAGATGGATGGAAAAGCACAAGAACTGGAACAGCCCTCTCCAGACACAGGGGAAAGGAACAGAGGAACTAGTAATGAGAATAGAAAGGAGAAACCCTGAACCTTTGAAAGAGTTTTGATGGAGGGTGGGAGGGAGGGAGGACTGGAACCTTCGGTTGGAGTGCTAAAAACAGCTTGAGTGTTTAATAGGAGAGAAAGAGAGTTAAATTAGAGGCAGTGCCAGATAATGAGAGGACATGCTGACTTGGAGAGGGCATCTTAAATATAGCCATGGCACTACCTTCACAGAGGCAGAGAGAAAGAGAGAAAGAGATGCAGAATAGGAGAGCACAGCTGTACTGCTGAAATAGTAAAGATCATTCTTATAGTTTCTGTATGTCATCCTCTGAACATCATCAGTGACAACCTCTCCTCCTTTCCAGTTACCACTCTCCAACAACAACCTCTTCTGGCCAGCCAACCTTCCCCTCCATCTCTCCCTGTATAGATGTCCCCCTCTTCTCTCTACTAATTATAGTCTAGACAGCATCAATGAGTCATGGTAGTGAGATTTCTCTAATCCTCTCTTCTTTCCCCTACGCTGCTCATCTAGCTCCCGCTCAGTTCCCACTCCCTCTATTGCCCTCCACCTACAGCCTGTGTCCAGCAGTGGTGGCGCCACTAGGAATGTGTTGTGTGTGTGTCTGTGTGTGTGTCTGTGTCTGTGTCTTTGTGTCTGTGTGTGTGTGTGGACAGAGCTGTAATGAGTGCTGTAATTGCATAGGGGTCACAGATTAATAATAACTGTCTCACACAGAGGCATTAGGTCTGAAGACCCAGACTGAGGGTGTGTAAGTGTCTGTGTGCCAATGTGTTTGTGTCTGAGAGTGTAGTGTATGCGGACTCCCTAAGGTGTGTGTGTGTGTGTTTACAGGACGAAGGTGAAGTTAGGAGTGACAGCCAAGTCTCTAAGTAAGGTCTCCTGACACAGTATCGAATAGAGATGAAGAGGGGTCAACAAGCAGTGGGCTGGGTCACTGAAAAGCTCAGATCTGATGTAACTGGCTGGACACATGACTCTCTCCCCTTTCCTCCCTATTTCCCTCGTTCTCACACTCTCTCTAATGGCCATGCTTGGAGCTCCTGAGGCTCTGGTTGCTAGATTCCCTTGACTCTCTCTTGCATAAGATGGAAGCGAGACTCAAGTGAGACATCTCACATTCTGTCATCACCCCCGAGATGCGCTAACACACATCCATGAACACATCACACTCAGGAATTGATACATAAACTACACACAAACAATCATATAAACAGCCATAGGTAAACATGCACACATTGGATGGGTGTGTGTAGAGTGGGAGAGGACGTGTTTTTCTCTGGCTGGAGGTAAGTAGGTAAGTAGGTAAGTAGGGGTAAGCTACATGTAGTGTTGAGTAAAGCTTAACCATGTATTAGATCGTAGGTAGGTAGTTAGCTGTAGTTAGGTATTGTATTTATTGTAGGTTAGTATTATTGTTGTTATTGTAGCTTTCCGTGGGTAATTTGTGGGTTAGTTTCGAGGCATGAGGCTAGCTAGCTAGCGGGTAGCTATTGGTAACGATTAGCAACGCTGGAGAGCTGGTTCCAACGTTTAATTATTATTATTATTATTATTATTATTATTATTTTTTTGCTGCGTTGTGAAGGGAACTCGACACGGACTTGAATTGTCTGTTTGGTGTGCTGACACACTCTTGGCAGTTTGTTGTGGCCAGGTGTTGATGCTAAGTTGTGTGTTAATGGATGCTAGCTTGCAGGTTGGCTACGGCGTCATAGCTAGGCTTCGTGGGTTGTTGTGGGTAGTTACTGTGTCTTGGCAGTGTCCTCGGCCGTGCCAGCTGTAGCACGAAGCTAGCTAGCTAGCCGTTCTTCAAACAGAGTCGACACAGTGGCCATTGCTAGCTACCCAACATGACCATTTGGCTGTACTGTAGTAGCTAACCACAATTTACTTGTCCTAGCTAGCCAACGTCTAATCATTGCTGCGTCATATAAGGAACTTGACACAGACACGAATGATCTGTTTAGTGTGATATCACAATATTGGTGGTTTGTTGTGACCAAGTGTTGGCGCTAAACGGTGTGTTATTGTTATTGGATGCTAGTCTGCTAGTTGGCTATGGAGTCATAGTAGGCTAGCTGAACAAAGTGGGTTGAGTCTACTCCTTTAAACATTGAACCGCTGTGGTTCACAACAATTCTGATTTCCAAAGGCGGAAGTTGGGAGAGTTTTTGTTCGGGTGGTTCAGTGAAACAATTTTAGTTTCCGAGCTAGAAGATTTGGTGAGGGAGGCCCTGCTCTCTCCACTCCCAGATGCTTAGCCCATTTCATTCCGATCTCCTCTGCATTTTTGTAGCCATTTGCTACAGCCTGTCAACTATGCCTCTGCCTATCCCTGTTCTCTCCTCTCTGCACAGGCTACACAAACGCACCACACCGCGTGGCTGCTGCCTCTCCAATTTGGTGGTCCCTGCACGCACCACCCACGTGGAGTTCCAGGTCGCAGGCAGCCTCTGGAACTGCCGTTCTGCTGCCAACAAAGCTGACTTCATCCCAGCCTATGCCAACCTCCAGTCCCTCGACTTCCTGGCGCTGACGGAAACATGGATCACCACTGAAAACACCGCTACTCCTACTGCTCTCTCCTCGTCTGACCATGTGTTCTCGCATACCCCGAGAGCATCTGGTCAGAGGGGTGGTGGTACAGGAATCCTCATCTCTCCCAAGTGGACATTCTCAATTTTTCCCCTAACCCATCTGTCTATCTCCTCATTTGAATTCCATGCTGTCACAGTCACTAGCCCATTTAAGCTTAATATCCTTGTCATCTATCGCCCTCCAGGTTCCCTTGGAGAGTTCATCAATGAGCTTGACGCCTTGATAAGTTCCTTCCCTGAGGATGGCTCACCCCTCACAGTTTTGGGGGATTTCAACCTCCCTATGTCCACATTTGACTCATTTCTCTCTGCCTCCTTCTTTCCACTCCTCTCCTCTCTTGACCTCACCCTCTCACCGTCCCCCCCTACTCACAAGGCAGGCAATACGCTTGACCTCATCTTCACTAGATGCTGCTCCTCTACTAATCTCACTGCAACTCCCCTCCAAGTCTCCGACCACTACTTTGTTTCCTTTTCTCTCTCACTCTCCTCCCACACTACTCACTCTGCCCCTACACAGATGGTAATGCGCCGCCGCAACCTTCGCTCTCTCTCTCCCACTACTCTCTCCTCTTCCATCCTATCATCTCTTCCCTCTGCTCAATCCTTCTCCCTCCAATCTCCTGATTCTGCCTCCTCAACCCTCCTCTCCTCCCTTTCTGCATCCTTTGACTCTCTGTGTCCCCTATCCTCACGGCCGGCTCGGTCCTCCCCTCCAGCTCCGTGGCTTGATGACTCATTGCGAGCTCACAGAACAGAGCTCCGGGCAGCGGAGCGGAAATGGAAGAAAACTAAATTCCCTGCCGACCTGGCATCTTTTCACTCCCTCCTCTCTACATTTTCTTCATCTGTTTCTGCTGCTAAGGCCACCTTCTACCACTCTAAATTCCAAGCATCTGCCTCTAACCCTAGGAAGCTCTTTGCCACATTTTCCTCCCTCCTGAATCCTCCCCCCCCCCCTCCCCCCCTCCTCTCTCTCTGTGGATGACTTCGTCAACCACTTTGAAAAGAAGGTTGACGACATCCGATCCTTGTTTGTTAAGCCTAATGACACTGCTGGTCCTGCTCACACTGCCCTACCCTATGCTTTGACTTCTTTCTCCCCTCTCTCTCCAGATAAGATCCTGCGACTTGTGACTGCAGGCCGCCCAACAACCTGCCCGCTTGACCCCATCCCCTCCTCCCTTCTCCAGACCATCTCCGGTGACCTTCTCCCCTACCTCACCTCGCTGATCAACTCATCCTTGACCGCTGGCCATGTCCCTTCCGTCTTCAAGAGAGCGAGAGTTACTCCCCTTCTCAAAAAACCAACACTCGACCCCACTGATGTCAACAACTACAGACCAGTATCCCTTCTTTCTTTTCTTTCCAAAACTATTGAGCGTGCCGTCTTTAGCCAACTCTCTTGCTATCTCTCTCAGAATGACCTTCTTGATCCAAACCAATCAGGTTTCAGGACTGGTCATTCAACTGAGACTGCTCTTCTCTGTGTCACAGAGACTCTCCGCACTGCTAAAGCTAACTCTCTCTCCTCTGCTCTTGTCCTTCTAGATCTGTCTGCTGCCTTTGATACTGTCAACCATCAGATCCTCCTCTCCACCCTCTCCGAAATGGGCATCTCCGGCGCGGCTCACTCCTGGATTGCGTCCTACCTGACCGGTCGCTCCTACCAAGTGGCGTGGCGGGAAGCTGTCTCCGCACCACGTGCTCTCACCACTGGTGTCCCCCAGGGATCGGTTTTGGGCCCTCTCCTTTTCTCCCTATACACCAAGTCACTTGGCTCTGTCATATCCTCACATGGCCTTTCCTATCATTGCTACGCTGACGATACACAACTAATCTTCTCCTTTCCCCCTTCTGATCACCAGGTGGCGAATCGCATCTCTGCATGTCTGGCAGACATATCAGTATGGATGACGGATCACCACCTCAAGCTGAACCCTGGCAAGACGGAGCTGCTCTTCCTCCCCGGGAAGGACTGCCCGTTCCATGATCTCGCCATCACGGTAGACAACTCCGCTGTGTCCTCCTCCCAGAGTGCGAAGAGCCTAGGCGTGACCCTGGACAACACCCTGTCGTTCTCCGCCAACATCAAGGCGGTGACCCGCTCCTGCAGGTTCATGCTCTACAACATTCGGAGAGTGCGACCCTGCCTTACACAGGAAGCGGCGCAGGTCCTGGTCCAGGCACTTGTCATCTCCCGTCTGGACTACTGCAACTCGCTGTTGGCTGGGCTCCCTGCCTGTGCCATTAAACCCCTACAACTCATCCAGAATGCCGCAGCCCGTCTGGTGTTCAACCTTCCCAAGTTCTCTCACGTCACCCCCCTCCTCCGCACACTCCACTGGCTTCCAATTGAAGCTCGCATCCGCTACAAGACCATGGTGCTTGCCTTTGGAGCAGTGAGGGGAACGGCACCCCTGTACCTTCAGGCTCTGATCAGTCCCTACACCCAAACGAGGACATTGCGTTCATCCACCTCTGGCCTGCTGGCTCCCCTTCCTCTGCGGAAGCACAGCTCCCCCTCAGCCCAGTCAAAACTGTTCGCTGCTCTGGCACCCCAATGGTGGAACAAGCTCCCTCACGACGCCAGGACAGCGGAGTCACTCACCACCTTCCGGAGACATTTGAAACCCCACCTCTTTAAGGAATACCTGGGATAGGCTAAAGTATTCCTTCTAACCCCCCCCCCCCCCCCCCCCAAATTGTAAAGTGGTTATCCCACTGGCTATAGGGTGAACGCACCAATTTGTGAGTCGCTCTGGCTAAGAGCGTCTGCTAAATGACGTTGATGTGCCCTTGAGCAAGGCACTTAACCCTAATTGCTCCTGTAAGTCGCTCTGGTTAAGAGCGTCTGCTAAATGACTAAAATGTAATGTAAATGTAAATGTAATGTGTCTGTGTGTCTATGTGTGTGTAGTGTGTGAATCAGAGTGTGTGCTTGGACATTCGTCTCCCGCTGCGGGCCGGTGTGTCAGCAGATCAGGTGGGTGACCCGGGACCCTGTGGAGTCTTGGACAGGGCCCCAAATGGCACCTTATTCCCTATGTAGCGCACTACTTTTGATCAGGGCCCATAAGGCTCTGGTCAGCCCTGGGCAAAAGTAGTGAACTATAAAGGGAATGGGGTGCCATTTGTGACACAACCTCATCATCACAGTGAGGAGAAAACATAAGCATAACTCCCTCTTCCCATTAATAGTAATAGTAGTTAGTGGCCTGGCTGGCCCAGCCTTACATAAGAGCCAGGGGAAAGAGATCTGTTTGAACTATACTGAACAAAAATATAAACGCAACATGTAAAGTGTTTATTTATCTCAAATTGTGTGCACAAATTTGTTTACATCCCTATTAGTGAGAATTTCTCTTTTGCCAAGATAATCCATTCACCTTACAGGTGTGGCATATCAAGAAGCTGATTAAACAGCATGATTACACAGGTGCACCTTGTGCTGGGAACAATAAAAGGCTACTCTAAAATGTGCAGTTTTGTCACAGAACACAATGCCACAGATGTCTTAAGTTTTGAGGGGGTGTGCAATTGGCATGCTGACTGCAGGAATGTCCCCCAGAGCTATTGCCAGATAATTCAATGTGCATTTCTCTACCCTAAGCTGCCTCCAACGTTGTTTTAGAGAATTTTGCAGTATGTCCAACCGGCCACACAACCTCAGACCACATGTAACCACGCCAGCCCCAGGACCTCCACATCCAGCTTCTTCACCTGCGGGATGGTCTGAGATGAACCACCCGGACAACCGAAGAAGGGTCTTGACCTGACTGCAGTTTGGCGTTGTAACCTACTTCACTGGGCAAATGCTCACCTTCAATGGCCACTGGCATGCTGGAGAAGTGTGCTCTTCACGGCTTCAACTGTACCGGGCAGATGGCAGACAGCATGTATGGCGTCATGTGGGCCAGCGATTTGCTGATGTCAACGTTGTGAATAGAGTGCCCCATGGTGGCGGTGGGGTTATGGTATGGGCAGGCATAAGCTACGGACAACGAACACAATTGCGTTTTAATGATGGCAATTTGAATGCAGAGATATCATGACGAGATCCTGAGGCCCATTGTCGTGCCATTCACCTGCTGCCATCACCTCATGTTTCAGCATGATAATGCACGGCTCCATGTCGCAAGGATCTGTACACAATTCCTGGAAGCTGAAAATGTCCCAGTTCTTCCATTGCCTGCATACTCACCAGACATGTCACCCATTGAGCATGTTTGGGATGCTCTGGATCGCCGTGTACGACAGCGTGTTTCAGTTCCCGCCAATATCCAGCAACTTCGAATAGCCATTGAAGAGGAGTGCGACAACATTCCACAGGCCACAATCAACAGCCTGATCAACTTTATGCAAAGGAGATGTGTCGCGCTGCATGAGGCAAATAGTGGTCACACCAGATACTGTCTGGTTTTCTGATCCACTCCTCTACTTCCTTTTTAAGGTCCATACCTCCATACCATGCATGGTGATTATGGATAGGGCCAGGAGGTGTTCCTCACCAGCAAGCTCTAGCTATATACTAGCCTATATCTCACATAGACTCTCCTACACCTCACATAGACTAGTCTATACCTCACATAGACTAGCCGATACCTCACATAGACTAGCCGATACCTCACATAGACTAGCCGATACCTCACATAGACTAGCCGATACCTCACATAGACTAGCCTACACTCTTAGAAAAAAAGAGTCCCAAAATGGTTGTTCAGCTGTCCACATAGGAGAACCCCTTTTGGTTCCAGGTAGCTCAATTGGTAGAGCATGGCGCTTGCAATGCCAGGGTTGTGGGTTCGAGTCCCACGGGGGCCAGTATGAAAAATTTCTGCACTCACTAACTGTAAGTCGCTCTGGATAAGAGCGTCTGCTAAATGACTATAAAACAATTAAAAAAACGTTTGGTTCCATGTAGAACCCTCTGTGGAAAGTTCTAGATAGCACCTTTTTTTCGGAGCGTATGTGAGGGATGCCATTCCATTCTGGCGAGTGAAGCGAACACCACTGTTGAGGCAGTGGCTTAGCAGACATTCCAAGCTACCCTAACTTATTGTGGTGCAAATGAGAAAGGTATGACTAGTCGACTAATACTGTCCACAGCAGAGTAGTTCACAAGATTGCTGGTTCAAATTCCAGTTAGGGAACTGTCACGATCGTTCATCGACGGGTCAGACCAAGGCGCAGCGTGATATGCGTACATGTTTATTTTAATGAATAAACAACCGACAAAACAATAAACAAACGAAACGTGAAGTCCAAGGTAGAACACAAAACATACCTACACGTAACAAGATCCCACAACCCACTAGTGCCAATAGGCTGCCTAAGTATGGTCCCCAATCAGAGACAACGAGCGACAGCTGCCTCTGATTGGGAACCACACCGGCACACATAGATCTAGACATACTAGAACTACAACATAGAAATACACAACATAGAAACTACACACCCTGACTCAACATATACGAGTTCCCTGAGTCACGGTGTGACAGGAACTTAACTCTTGTTTTCTTGGACATGGCGTCTTGAACAATTGATCTGAATATCCTCAATCAAAATCTAAATGAATATATGGATCAAATGTAGGATGTTAATTGCACTGAAATCAGACTAGGTGCCTACTGCGCACTGTCTAACTACAATAGTGGTACATAAATAGGCTAGGGCTAGTTCATATCAAAGGTCATCATTGTCACTCTTTAAGTGGAAAGTACAGCTCAATGATAAACAACACAGCAGACCTGGGCAGAAAATAGTTGTATTTTGTAATTTCTTTGAAAATACCCACTTTTCAAATACTTGAGGTAGTCGAATATAGTTTATATAGAGTATCAACTAAAATCCAACTATTTTCTTTGATATTCAAGTACAGGTCTCAGAAAAACAAATAATATTTGAAAGTATTTTGAATACCTCTCAGAAAACCAAATAATATGAGTATATGCAAGTAATTTGAAAACTAAAACATATTTATTTGATTGCTGCCAAATATTTTCTGAAGAACCAAATACTACAACAGTTAGTTGAATTAGTCTAAATATATGACCATATGCACATGGTTAGGAGGGCTGTTAGATATTAATCTTATTGTAGCCTATAGCCTATAATTAAATACATGAGGGACATGGAATCACCTCAACATTAGAGTAGACAATTTTTGCAGCTTCAAAATGACTAACAAAGATATTTTTTATAATGAGTGAGACATAAAGTAATACAGTAATGCTTGACATTAAGTTCTTATTATACATGTGTAGTAACTTTATGATTATTACAATAGCAACATTGTTGTAACATAGGACTTTGGACATTGCTTTAGAATTGCATAATTCTGGAGTTATTACATAAGTGGAATAAGGAACTATTCCTCTTGTGTACAGTAGTTACAAAAACTCTCAGCTCATTGCTTTGCAATTAAAATGCAATTACCAAAGTATTATGTAGCAACATGCTAATAAAATGTTGCTCCAAATGTAATTATAGTTTTATTACACAGGCACAGTTTAATGTAAGTGTTACTGAGAATGCTAACAGTAACAAAATAAAACTAAATATCCCAAAACTTGAATCAACTACATCCAAGGTAGGGTGAAAAGCACATTAGTTTGTATTCTGAATAAACTATCCATTGTATATGGTATAGTGTGTATTTGAAACAAGAACACTTACCCTCAGATGGACAAAGAAGTTCAAAGTTGTTTTTGCTAAGCATCCAACTTGCCGTTTGCAATGTTTGCAAATGGTTTTGAATTACTCTGCAGTATTTTCAGGTATCGTAAAATTAATTGCAACTTTCAACCTTTTCAGTGGCATGTTGAAAGAGTCATACAGTAGTTGAACGTCACAACTTATTTATACGTCTCTTTACAAAATATCATTGGTTAATTGGTTTGACTTGACTATGTACACATGGGGCAATGGACATTCAGAAGAATGGACATTTACAAAATGTTCCGATAGAAATGTATTGTGTAGATCGAATATGACTGTCAGATAGATTGGAATGGTATAAGAGATTGTGTGTGCTCTATTCATTCTATCTCTATCTTCTACATGCAGTTCCAGATACAGCCCTGCCATTAGTTGATACAGTAGCAACCAATCCAATAGTTTTAGAAACATTTTAACTTCCTGAGATCTGTATTCAAATAGTTTTGAAAGGTAGTCACTTTCTGAGATCTGTATTTAAAGAGTTTTAAAAAGTAGTCATTTTTGGGGATCTGTATTCAAATAGTTGCAGTCACCTCGAAAGTAACTATTTGTTCCCTTGGGAAAGAAAGTTAATTTCCACAAAGCATAGTTAAAACTATAGTTATCCCAGGCCTGCAACACAATAAGTGATAGCAGAAAACTATGGTAAAATATCACTGGCATCAGCAGTGTTTCCACAAAAAAACAATTGTCCATTACACTACAAAACACCATATAACACAACTCCACAAAATGGTCACAAATAAATGTATGTTACAAAATGTACTCTGCTCCAGCCTATATCGAAAACATTAGCAACCATATGACCCAAGACAATCAACCACCCACCCACACTTCACAGAAACTCAAATACTGTAGAATGTAGTTTTTCACAATTGCAAAGAACTTAGGCCTACTCATAAACATCTCATTCACACCAGTATTGCAAGCTCTGATATCACTAAAATGTGGAATACAAACAGCATCAGGATATCTTAATGCATCTTGGAAATATAGACCTGTAAACACAGAGGTACAATACATGTCTTTTCAAGTTGTGGCTATTGTAAAACAAGTGGCCTCAGACACCAAAATTAAAAGTCGGAGCTTGTGATATTGGGTTACATTAACAGGAGGCACAGATAGAGGGTCTACCCAACCTTAACATGAGGCACAGAGAGGGGTCTGAATCCCTCCCTATCCTCTCAGGGTGACACTGTCTGTCTACACCGCAGCTGAGTGTGTCAGAGCTCTCCCTATCCCCTTCCTCAGCCCTATCCATCACACCATCCATTGGCATGGGTCATTGGTATCAGGATACTGCCTGGCGGTCACTCTATACCCACTGGTGAAACAAGACCCACAGCAGAGTCATTGTCCATTAGTTTCATATGACTGACCAAGAGAGAGAGAGAGCGAGAGAGAGAGAGAGAGAGAGAGAGCGAGAGAGAGAGACAGGACGGGAGACATGGAGAGAGAAGTCCAAGAACCTGAACAGGTCACACTCACCAACATATCCCTTTACCTGTCTGAGCTAATTTCGTTCACATTAGGCCTACAATTGGTTTTCAATAATAATGATATTGCTAGTTTATAAATGGTAGTTTAAAACCAGGATGAAGGTATTGAGACCAAACATTTGGTAAGAGTTTTATTATGATACACTGTCACGATGTCGGTGTATGCGGTAGACTGAAGTCAGGCGCAGGACACAGAACTCAAGGGAAAAAACGTAACTTTACTAAAGCTCGAAAAGAAACAAGAAGCCTCCACGCAGGGAGGAATATATCCGCTCACCAATGACATACGAGTACAAGCAACAAACATGCACAGAACACAATGGGAGCAACAGGGATAAATAGGGGCGGAGTAATCACAAGATGGGCAACAGGTGTGAAACAATCTGACACAACAGGTAGAACATAGAAACATAGAACATAGATCGGCAGCAGCTAGTACTCCGGTGACGACGAACGCCGAAACCTGCCCGAGCAAGGAGGAGGGGCAGCCTCGGCAGAATCTGTGACATACACATTCAATGGAATAAGATGGAAAGGAAGTTGCTGAGGGGCATATTGGGAATTGAATGGTGTGGAGAAGGGGAACATTAGGCCTTAGGGCTCTTGAAGACAGCCTGCTCAAACTTCTTATTTCCCCAGTGCAGTAGCCCAGGCTACAGTGAAACTATAACAACCACGTGTCATTTCAACAGAACCAGTCCACAAGAGAGGACTTGTAAAAATAAAAATCTAATGTGTAGCCACTAGCCTATTTGTGCAGTGGGCAAGATATCCACATATATTTGGGTATTATTAGCTACACAGAAGTTCAAATTTGAACTTCTTCTAAAATCAATCTACCGAGGAAAGTCAAAAGTTTTATCCAAAACGATCTAGTGTGTTGAGTTTGCTAACTAGAGCAAGACAGCAGCACGAGCTTTGGCCTTTGTATGGGAAATGCGGTGGTTAAATTGTAACAATAATTGGTTTACAAATGTTACATTAGACAACTTGCCACATTTGTTACAGATAATATTCCGATTCACATACCATTGTTTAATGCCGAACATCTCCCATGTGTGTGTCATGGGGAGTATCCAATGATTTATATATCAGTGGCGGTCAGTGCCGTTTAAGATGAGGGAGGACGATTCTTTTTTCATAAGCATGGTCTTATTTTTATTACAGCATATTGGATGACTTTCATTCATATTCCATTCACCCAGTTCAATTTAAAAGTTTAGGCTACTACATGATACTCACATTTTCCATATACCTATCATGAGGTTGCTACAACCTAGCCTATGAATTGCATTTTACAACGTAGGTGCACACAGTTCAAGAGACAAATTTGAGGTGACAGACAGTGACACATGGACAGACAGTGACATTCAATACTGCCTTGCACACTCTTGCCTGCATCGAGCTGATATAGGGTGTAAAATGAGTTGCAAACAAGGGTTTCTATTGGACAAATTCAGGTATGTTTATCCCCGTTTTGTTCTGTTTGCTTCCGTTTAAGAAATGTTTTTCAACAGAATCAGCAGAATGAATACACCCCTGATCACGCGTAAACACAGTTCACTTTCATAGCAGCCACGTTGTATACCTTCTCGCATCTATGCGCTCTCCTCCTCTCACCTCTTCCCTTTGCTTGTGGACTTCAATGCACAACACATCAGCTGTATGTGACCAGGCGAAAAAACCTTTCCAAGTGAAACCAGTGTTGTGTTGGATAGTCATAGCCAGCTAGCTAACATAGCATCCCTCTGTTTGAGCAGGGTGTTTCAGTAGACTAAACTAGCTAGCTGTATTTGCTAGCTAAGTAAGTGAAGCTGAAAGTTTAAAAAAAGGACAATCTCTCTCTCTCTCTATTTCTCTCTTGCTTCTCCTTCATTTTGGAAGAAATTAATTTGTTCAAAACTTTTTAACTTTTGTCTTTCTCTCTCTTTGAGTCAACTACTCACCACATTTTATGCACTGCAGTGCTAGCTGTAGCTTATGCTTTCAGTACTAGATTCATTCTCTGATCCTTTGATTGGGTGGACAACATGTCAGTTCATGCTGCAAGAGCTCTGATAGGTTGGAGGACGTCCTCCGGAAGTTGTCATAATTACTGTGTAAGTCTATGGAAGGGGGTGAGAACCATGAGCCTCCTAGGTTTTGTATTGAAGTCAGTGAGGGAAAAAAGTATTTGATCCCCTGCTGATTTTGTACGTTTGCCCACTGACAAAGACCTGATCAGTCTATAATTTTATTGGTAGGTTTATTTGAACAGTGAGAGACACAATAACAACAACAAAATCCAGAAAAACGCATGTCAAAAATGGTTATAAATTGATTTGCATTTTAATGAGGGAAATAAGTATTTGACCCCCCCTCAATCAGAAAGATTTCTGGCTCCCAGGTGTCTTTTATACAGGTAACGAGCTGAGATTAGGAGCACACTCTTAAAGGGAGTGCTCCTAATCTCAGCTTGTTACCTGTATAAAAGACACCTGTCCACAAAAGCAATCAATCAATCAGATTCCAAACTCTCCACCATGGCCAAGACCAAAGAGCTCTCCAAGGATGTCAGGGACAAGATTGTAGACCTACACAAGGCTGGAATGGGCTACAAGACCATCGCCAAGCAGCTTGGTGAAAAAGTGACAACAGTTGGTGAGATTATTCGCAAATGGAAGAAACACAAAAGAACTGTCAATCTCTCTCGGCCTGGGGCTCCATGCAAGATCTCACCTCGTGGATTTTGCAATGATCATGGGAATGGTGAGGAATCAGCCCAGAACTACGCGGGAGGATCTTGTCAATGATTTCAAGGCAGCTGGGACCATAGTCACCAAGAAAACAATTGGTAACACACTACGCCGTGAAGGACTGAAATCCTGCATCGCCCACAAGGTCCCCCTGCTCAAGAAAGCACATATACAGGCCCGTCTGAAGTTTGCCAATGAACATCTGAATGATTTAGAGGAGAACTGGGTGAAAGTGTTGTGGTCAGATGAGACCAAAATCGAGCTCTTTGCCATCAACTCAACTCACCGTGTTTAGAGGAGGAGGAATGCTGCCTATCACCCCAAGAACACCATCCCCACCGTCAAACATGGAGGTGGAAACGTTATGCTTTGGGGGTGTTTTTCTGCTAAGGGGACAAGACAACTTCACCGCATCCATGTACCGTCAAATCTTGGGTGAGAACCTCCTTCCGTCAGCCAGGGCATTGGATGGGTATTCCAGCATGACAATGACCCAAAACACACGGCCAAGGCAACAAAGGAGTGGCTCAAGAAGAAGCACATTAAGGTCCTGGAGTGGCCTAGCCAGTCTCCAGACCTTAATCCCATAGAAAATCTGTGGAGGGAGCTGAAGGTTCGAATTGCCAAACGTCAGCCTCGAAACCTTAATGACTTGGAGAAGATCTGCAAAGAGGAGTGGGACAAAATCCCTCCTGAGATGTGTGCAAACCTGGTGGCCAACTACAAGAAACGTCTGACCTCTGTGATTGCCAACAAGGGTTTTGCACCAAGTACTAAGTCATGTTTTGTAGAGGGGTCAAATACTTATTTCCCATTAAATGTATAGACTGATCATGTCTTTGTCTGTGGGCAAATGTACAAAATCAGCAGGGGATCAAATATTTTTTTCCCTCACTGTACCTAGAGGATGACGGAAGCTAGCTGTCCTCCGGCCACACCATGGTGATACCCTACAGAGTGCTGTTGAGGATACTGTAGACCTTCTTTGAAAAATAGTGTGTTTTAATCAATTATTTGGTGGCATGTGATTATATTTAGTATAGTTTTATGTAAAAATGATAACTTTTTTCCTGTTTTACAATTTAAATTTTTATGAAATTCACTGAGGAGGATGGTCCTCCCCTTCCTCCTCTGAGGAGCCTCCACTGTTATATATGCATATATGTGAGTAACCAATGACCTGTCGCATGCTTCCCAGTATAAACAGTTCGCGCATATATTATGATGAAATATATTTAGGTTTTTGTTTGTTTTGGTGTTCGTGCACACAAAAGGCAAGTCGAACTTCAAGTCTATGCCCCCTTGTTGGTGATTGGTAAAAAAAAAAGTATTAATCCTAGTAGGACTGGGAACTATGGATGGGATTCTTCAATGAAGTGTTTGTTGTCATTCAACGAGAGACGATTAGTTTTCATGCACATTTTTTCACTTGAGAAATACTGCACCAAACATCTTAGTTAGATGTGAAATTGCGCGACCAAGACCTCCCCGGCAAAAACGTCAAATTCATTACAGATTTCTTAAATTAGAGTAGTTCTGATTATTTTGAAGAAGTGTCATAGCTATGTTGTTTCTATGGTGGCACAAGCGGGACAAGAAACAGTAACATTGTGTAACAGGCACCGGGCATGAGATCCCACTAGCTTACAAAAATATATACACTACCAGTCAAAGGTTTGGACACACCTACTCATTCAATGGTTTTTCTTTATTTTTACTATTTTTTAGATTGTAGAATAATAGTGAAGACATCAAAACTATGAAATAACACACAGGGAATCATGTAGTAACCAAAAAAGTGTTAAACAAATCAAAATATATTTTATATTTGAGATTCTTCAAATAGCCACCCTTTACCTTGATGACAGCTTTGCACACTCTTTTCCAACACAGTCTCATCACCCTCTCTCCTCTCTCGCGCGCAGGAGCGATCGCGTAAAGCCTGATGATTCAGATATATGCGTCTATCTCTGCTAGATCTGATTCTTCTCTATTAGCTGCTCACAGCGGTCCCTCCTCCTGCTCTCTCTCCCTCTCTCTCTCCCTCTCTCTCTCTCTCTCTCTCTCTCTCTCTCTGACTTTCTTTCCCCTGTTTATATTTCTGTTTCTCCTTCCCCATCTCCTGTGTGATCCTGGCTGAAGGATATTATGTCTCTGTGTAAACACAGCCCTGAGCCACTGAGTACACAGCATTAGGCCTACATAAACACCTCGTGGGACCAGGACAATGAGCAGGTCTCACCAGACCCGGATGCCTAGCTCACCTCAATTGCTATTTACCAAACCTCTCATCTGTAGACTATAGACTCACTGTCAAACACACACTAAATGTCACCTCACAAAGTCACTGTTACACGTTCACAAACTCTAATCCTTCTGGCCTTCTCAAAAATGACACCTCATCCTCGTGTCTGTGAGGTTTGGTGTGGTTGACGGTGGGATAGTTGTTTAAAGATGGTCTAGCTGCCATAGCCTCTATATTCTCTACCTCACTGTTACTATCTGGCCTTGGCACACCAGTTATTATCTGTCATCAGAGGACTTACTGGAGTGGACACTATGGTCACATGGCCTCCCCACAGACCTTTAGGGGGGCTAATATGAGTTAGAGTTTCTGCTGATGTACACAGACAGTTGAAGTCGGAAGTTTACATACACTTAGGTTGGAGTCATTAAAACTTGTTTTGCAACCACTCCACACATTTCTTGTTAACAAACTATAGTTTTGGAAAGTCGGTTAGGACATCTACTTTGTGCATGACACAAGTCATTTTTCCAACAATTGTTTACAGACAGATTATTTCACTTATAATTGACTGTATCACAATTCCAGTGGGTCAGAAGTTTACACACACTAAGTTGACTGTGCCTTTAAACAGCTTGGAAATTTCCAGAAAATGATGTCATGGCTTTAGAAGCTTCTGATAGGCTAATTGACATCATTTGAGTCAATTGGAGGTGTACCTGTGGATGTATTTCAAGGCCTACCTTCAAACTCAGTGCCTCTTAGCTTGACATCATGGGAAAATCTAAAGAAATCAGCCAAGACCTCAGAAAACAATTGTAGACCTCCACAAATCTAGTTCATCCTTGGGAGCAATTTTCAAATGCCTGAAGGTATCACGTTCATCTGTACAAACAATAGTGTGCAAGTATAAACACCATGGGACCACGCTGCCGTCATTCCGCTCAGGAAGGAGACGCACTCTGTCTCCTAGAGATGAACGTACTTTGGTGCGAAAAGTGCAAATCAATCCCAGAACAACAGCAAAGGACCTTGTGGAAGATGCTGGAAGAAACAGGTACAAAAGTATCTATATCCACAGTAAAACAAGTCCTATATCGACATAACCTGAAAGGCCACTCAGCAAGGAAGAAGCCACTGCTCCAAAACCGCCATAAAAAAGCCAGACTACGGTTTGCAACTGCACATGGGGACAAAAATCATACTTTTTGGAGAAATGTCTTCTGGTCTGATGAAACAAAAATAGAGCTGTTTGGCCATAATGACCATCGTTATGTTTGGAGGAAAAACGGGCAGGCTTGCAAGCCGAAGAACACCATCCCAACCGTGAAGCACGGGGGTGGCAGTATCATGCTGTGGTGTTGCTTTGCTGCAGGAGGGACTGGTGCACTTCACAAAATAGATGGCATCATGAGGAAGGAAAATTATGTGGATATATTGAAGCAACATCTCAAGACATCAGTCAGGAAGTTAAAGCTTGGTCTTCCAAATGGACAATGACCACAAGAATACTTCCAAAGTTGTGGCAAAATGTCTTAAGGACAACCAAGTCAAGGTCCAATTCACCCAACTTATTGTGGGAAGCTTGTGGAAGGCTACCCGAAACGTTTGACCCAAGTTAAACAATTTAAAGGCAATGCTACCAAATACTAATTGAGTGTATGTAAACTTCTGACCCACTGGGAATGTGATGAAATAAATAAAAGCTGAAATAAATAATTCTCTCTACTATTATTCTGACATTTCACATTCTTAAAATAAAATGGTGATCCTAACTGACCTAAAACAGGGAATTTTTACTAGGATTAAATGTCAGGAATTGTGAAAAACGGAGTTTAAATGTATTTGGCTAAGGTGTACATAAACTTCTGACTTCAACTGTACATGCACACACACACACACACACACACACACACACACACACACACACACACACACACACACACACACACACACACACACACACACACACACACACACACACACACACACACACACACACACACACACACACACAAATAAACACATACACATACACATGTTGTAGGTACACACTTACAGTACCAGTCAAAGGTTTGGACACACTTACTCATTCAAGGGTTTTTATTTATTTATACTATTTTCTACATTGTAGAATAATAGTGAAGACATCAAAACAATGAAATGACACATGAAATCATGTAGTAAACAAAAAAGTGTTCAACAAATCAAAATATATTTTATATTTGAGATTCTTCAAATAGCCACCCTTTGCCTTGATGACAGCTTTGCACACTCTTTGCATTCTCTCGACCAGCTTCACCTAGAATGCTTTTCCAACAGTCTTGAAGGAGTTCCCACATATGCTGAGCACTTGTTGGCTGCTTTTCCTTCACTCTGCGGTCCGACTCATCCCAAACCATCTCAATTGGGTTGAGGTCAGGGGATGCTGGAGGCCAGGTCATCTGATGCAGCACTCCATCACTCTCCTTCTTTGTAAAATAGCCCTTACACAGCCTGGAGGTGTGTTGGGTCATTGTCCTGTTGAAAAACAAATGATAGTCCCACTAAGCCCAAACCAGATGGGATGGTGTATCGCTGTAGAATGCTGTGGTAGCCATGCTGGTTAAGTGTGCCTTGAATTCTAAATAAATTACAGACAGAGTCACCAGCAAAGCACCTCCACACCATAACACCTCCTCCTCCATGCTTTACGGTGGGAAATACACATGCGGAGATCATCCGTTCATCCACACCGCGTCTCACAAAGACACAGCGGTTAGAACCAAAAATTTCCAATTTGACTCCAGACCAAAGGACACATTTCCACTGGTCTAATGTCCATTGCTCGTGTTTCTTGGCCCAAGCAGGTCTCTTCTTCTTATTGGTGTCCTTTAATAGTGGTTTCTTTGCAGCAATTCGAACATGAAAGTCTGATTCACCTAGTCCCCTCTGAACAGTTGATGTTGAGATGTGTCTGTGACTTGAACTCTGTGAAGCATTTATTTGGGCTGCAATTTCTGAGGCTGGTAACTCTAATGAACTTATCCTCTGCAGCAGAGGTAACTCTGGGTCTTCCATTCCTGTGGTGGTGCTCATGAGAGCCAGTTTCTTCATAGCGCTTGATGGTTTTTGCGACTGCACTTGAAGAAACTTTCAACGTTTTTGATATTTTCCGTATTGACTGACCTACATGTCTTAAAGTAATGATGGACTGTCATTTCTCTTTGCTTATTTGAGCTGTTCTTGACATAATATGGACTTGGTCTTTTACCAAATAGGGCTAACTTCTGTAAACCCCCCCTATCTTGTCACAACACAACTAATTGGCTCAAACGTGTTAAGTATGAAAGAAATTCCACAAATTAACTTTTAAGAAGGCACAACTGTTCATTGAAATGCATTCCAGGTGACTACCACATGAAGCTGGTTGAGAGAATGCCAAGAGTGTGCAAAGCTGTCATCAAGGCAAATGGTGGCTATTTGAAGAATCTCAAATATAAAATAAATTTTGATTTGTTTAACACTTTTTTGGTTACTACATGATTCCATATGTGTTTTGATGTCTTCACTATTATTTTACAATGTAGAAAATAGTAAAAATAAAGAAAAACCCTGGAATGAGTAGGTGTGTCCAAACTTTTGACTGGTACTGTATGTATGAATGAACATACTTCACACACTTCCCCCTCTCCACGCCCTGTTCTGTGCCGTCTTCATTCCCCAGCCGACCAGGACACAGCTGCAGGAGGAATTATATAAACCAGAGGTCACAGCAACAGTAAACCCTGACGACATCCAGGAGTAGCCTCTTGTGCCTGTGCACACTGAAGATTCCTTCTGGCCATGTTATAAATACATGCAGGTTCCAACACAAGGTTCAATGGACAGACATACCACATTCATGGCCTGACCCTTGGTATTGGAAGCCCCTCTGAAGGAGAATTACAACCACCAAGTCATGCCACATAGCATCTCACATTACACCTCCCTACATCAACAGCGCAAAGCCCTTATAACATTAAAGGAAGGGTGATGAAGGACTCACATCTGCATTTAGAGTGTCACATTTCTGTGAGAAAAAAAAGCCTGCCAATCAAAATAACACTGCTTGGGTAGCTAAAACGGATGTGTGGTAGTGGTTTTGGCCATATAAATTGCCACATTAAAATGCTATCAAAGCAGCCTATGCTGTGGTGATGGGGGTAATTTAGGAATCCTTTGAACCTTTCAAGATTTATACCCTCCCCCCTGTTTTGGAACAAAACAACGATAGCAGCGACTCTCTATGAACACTGCACTGACAGCTTATCTGTCCATGTCAGAAGAGTCTGGTGGGAGGAGCTATAGGATGACGGGCTCATTGTAATGGCTGGAATGGAGTAAATGGAATGGAAACGTGGTTTCCATATGTTTGATGTGTTTGATACCGTTCCATTTATTCCATTCCAGCCATTGCAATGAGCCTGTCCTCCTATAGTTCCTCCTAGCAGCCTTCTCTGGTCCATGTTTCAAATATGTGCCAGACGGGTTTGGGCACTTTCTCCAATGACTCAACTCAAATGCTGACATAATGCAGATTACCAAACTGTATGGAAAACAGGATTGAAATGAGTTGCACATCGCTGATACGCCGCTGATGATGGGTGGATGGATTACAAAATGACACAATGCACCTCTGTGGACCGCTGGGAGTGTGTGGGAGTGTGTGTGGGTCAGATATGTTTCTCATGGAGCAGATCCGTTACACAATGGGATGATTTTTCTCTGTTGCAGACAAATAAAACATAACTCACATTCTGTTCTTTCTGCTGGTGGAAAGTTGTCTTGCTGCAGGGTGTGGAGGGACAAAGCACAAAGATCTCCATGGCACTGTGTACTGAGAACAGCTGTTAGCAAAACATAGCCATAAGGTGACCCAAGGACACATCAAGTCTAAAGGTCCAGATTAACACACACTGATTACCTAAATAAGAAAGGTTGACGCCAAGTTCAATGCACTGACTGATGCGCAACAAACAGCACAAAACAGAATGTGGCATCCCTCTACGTTGGGCTAGTAACGGAAAGGTTGCTGGTTCGAATCTCCGAAATCTGTCGATGTGCGCTTGAGCGAGAAACGTAACCTTAATTGCTCCTGCATGTTGCTATGGATAAGAGTGTCTGCTAAATCACTTAAGATTTCACTGAAATGATGATGATGGAGGTGATCTCAGATTTACTTGTAGTGGTGAACTGAATGAACACTCAGTGACTATTGTGCCACAGGCTTGCCCAGAGACACTGAATCAATTAAACCAACAGGGAACAATTCTGTATGTCTCTTCAAGATCATACCGTTTCAGTGCTAAAGCTAAATTCACTATTGAATACGTATTTGGTATACAGATCTTAATTTGATCACTCTTTTTTTGCTGAAAATGTTCCTGGACAGCAGGAACTGCAAACTTGTAGTGTATTCAAGGTTTAAATAGGCTTCAAAAGTTGATAATTTACACTTTAAAATGTCAGACTTGACTTGCCCTAACAAAATATTTATCAACCCCTAAAAAAAAGGCCCAATAATTATAATCAAGTTAATAATTTACATTTCCTGTTGCTGCAGGAATATTTTCCTGCTGTAGCAAACTGGCTCAAATTAAGATCCTACATATCTGTATGTGGTATTTCAAAGTCCATTTCCATTGAGTGTGAAGTCTCAAACATGTCAGTGTTGGAAAATGTGTCTTGGTGTCATTTTACCCTCCAACCCCCCTCTCTCTTAATTTTTTTCCCTCAACCCACCCCTGCCAAAACATGTTGAGAGAACTTCCAGGAATCCATTTTTTTGGTCTCTCTGCAAAAGAACATGTTGTACATCTGGCGTGTGATTGGCTAAAGTGACAGCTCAACTTGGCAGAGTTCACAGGCAGTGCACATACCTTTGTTTGGATGAGAGGGATTTCTGTTTTGGCTAGAAAACTTAACTAAATCATTGCTTGATGTAATCTAAGTTAATTGTTTACTGACTAGCTCTGCAGTATGTTGACATAAACCTCCTTTAGATGTTGTTGTTGTTGTGGATGTTTGTGTATTATGTGTTTTGTCATATTACCAGAAAATGTCGTTCCTGGAAGCAAAGTCAGTCTGTTGTGGTGTGGGTGTCTAGACCTGGTTTTGTGCAGCAGTCCTTGTGTCACCAGGGAGACAGACTGGCTTTTGTGTGTTTGTCATCAGGGACAGTGTGGGATTGGGACAGAGTGACTGGGAGGGCACCAGACACTTCTCTGAAGCGTGTGTGGGGCCTCCACTCATCTCACTTCAGTCTCTCAGTAGACCCATTCTCCCCAAGTAGACCCTCACCAGCCCCTGCTGATTTTGTATGTTTTCCCACTGACAAAGAAATGATCAGTCTATAATTTTAATGGTAGGTTTATTTGAACAGTGAGAGACAGAATAACAAAAAAAAATCCAGAAAAACGCATGCCAAAAATGTTATTAATTGATTTGCATTTTAATGAGGGAAATAAGTATTTGACCCCTCTGCAAAACATGACTTAGTACTTGGTGGCAAAACCCTTGTTGGCAATCACAGAGGTCAGATGTTTCTTGTAGTTGGCCACCAGGTTTGCACACATCTCAGGAGAGATTTTGTCCCACTCCTCTTTGCAGATCTTCTCCAAGTCATTAAGGTTTCGAGGCTGACGTTTGGCAACTCGAACCTTCAGCTCCCTCCACAGATTTTCTATGGGATTAAGGTCTGGAGACTGGCTAGGCCACTCCAGAACCTTAATGTGCTTATTCTTGAGCCACTCCTTTGTTGCCTTGGCCGTGTGTTTTGGGTCCTTGTCATGCTGGAATACCCATCCACGACCCATTTTCAATGCCCTGGCTGAGGGAAGGAGGTTCTCACCCAAGATTTGACGGTACATGGCCCCGTCCATCGTCCCTTTGATGCGGTGAAGTTGTCCTGTCCCCTTAGCAGAAAAACATCCCCAAAGCATAATGTTTCCTCCTCCATGTTTGACAGTGGGGATGGTGTTCTTGGGGTGATAGGCAGCATTCCTCCTCCTCCAAACACGGCGAGTTGAGTTGATGCCAAAGAGCTCGATTTTGGTCTCATCTGACCACAACACTTTCACCCAGTTCTCCTCTGAATCATTCAGATGTTCATTGGCAAACTTCAGACGGGTATGTATATGTGCTTTCTTGAGCAGGGGGACCTTGCGGGCGCTGCAGGATTTCAGTTCTTCACGGCGTAGTGTGCTACCAATTGTTTTCTTGGTGACTATGGTCCCAGCTGCCTTGAGATCATTGACAAGATCCTCCCGTGTAGTTCTGGGCTGATTCCTCACCATTCTCATGATCATTGCAACTCCACGAGGTGAGATCTTGCATGGAGCCCCAGGCCGAGGGAGATTGACAGTCCTTTTGTGTTTCTTCCATTTGCGAATAATCGCACCAACTGTTGTCACTTTCTCACCAAGCTGCTTGGCGATGGTCTTGTAGCCCATTCCAGCCTTGTGTAGGTCTACAATCTTGTCCCTGACAACCTTGGATAGCTCTTTAGTCTTGGCCATGGTGGAGAATTTGGAATCTGATTGATTGATTGCTTCTGTGGACAGTTGTCTTTTATACAGGTAACAAGCTGAGATTAGGAGCACTCCCTTTAAGAGTGTGCTCCTAATCTCAGCTCGTTACCTGTATAAAAGACACCTGGGAGCCAGAAATCTTTCTGATTGAGAGGGGGTCAAATACTTATTTCCCTCATTAAAATGCAAATCAATTTATAACATTTTTGACATGCGTTTTTCTGGATTTTGTTGTTGTTATTCTGTCACTCACTGTTCAAATAAACCTACCATTAAAATTATAGACTGATCATGTCTTTGTCAGTGGGCAAACGTACAAAATCAGCAGGGGATCAAATACTTTTTTCCCTCACTGTATGTTAATTTAATTTACAAGGTAATATAAACTGACCAAAATACACTGCTCAAAAAAATAAAGGGAACACTTAAACAACACATCCTAGATCTGAATGAATGAAATAATCTTATTAAATACTTTTTTCTTTACATAGTTGAATGTGCTGACAACAAAATCACACAAAAATTATCAATGGAAATCAAATTTATCAACCCATGGAGGTCTGGATTTGGAGTCACCCTCAAAATTAAAGTGGAAAACCACACTACAGGCTGATCCAACTTTGATGTAATGTCCTTAAAACAAGTCAAAATGAGGCTCAGTAGTGTGTGTGGCCTCCACGTGCCTGTATGACCTCCCTACAACGCCTGGGCATGCTCCTGATGAGGTGGCGGATGGTCTCCTGAGGGATCTCCTCCCAGACCTGGACTAAAGCATCCGCCAACTCCTGGACAGTCTGTGGTGCAACGTGGCGTTGGTGGATGGAGCGAGACATGATGTCCCAGATGTGCTCAATTGGATTCAGGTCTGGGGAACGGGCGGGCCAGTCCATAGCATCAATGCCTTCCTCTTGCAGGAACTGCTGACACGCTCCAGCCACATGAGGTCTAGCATCGTCGTGCATTAGGAGGAACCCAGGGCCAATCGCACCAGCATATGGTCTCATAAGGGGTCTGAGGATCTCATCTCCGTACCTAATGGCAGTCAGGCTACCTCTGGCGAGCACATGGAGGGCTGTGCGGCCCCCCAAAGAAATGCCACCCCACACCATGACTGACCTACCGCCAAACCGGTCATGCTGGAGGATGTTGCAGGCAGCAGAACGTTCTCCACGGCGTCTCCAGACTCTGTCACGTCTGTCACATGTGCTCAGTGTGAACCTGCTTTCATCTGTGAAGAGCACAGGGCGCCAGTGGCGAATTTGCCAATCTTGTTGTTCTCTGGCAAATGCAAAACGTCCTGCACGGTGTTGGGCTGTCAGCACAACCCCCACCTGTGGACGTCGGGCCCTCATACCACCCTCATGGAGTCTGTTTCTGACCGTTTGAACAGACACATGCACATTTTGCAGGGCTCTGGCAGTGCTCCTCCTGCTCCTCCTTGCACAAAGGCGGAGGTAGCAGTCCTGCTGCTGGGTTATTGCCCTCCTACGGCCTCCTCCACGTCTCCTGATGTACTGGCCTGTCTCCTGGTAGCGCCTCCATGCTCTGGACACTACGCTGACAGACACAGCAAACCTTCTTGCCACAGCTCGCATTGATGTGCCATCCTGGATGAGCTGCACTACCTGAGCCACTTGTGTGGGTTGTAGACTCCGTCTCATGCTACCACTAGAGTGAAAGCACCGCCAGCATTCAAAAGTGACCAAAACATCAGCCAGGAAGCATAGGAACTGAGAAGTGGTCTGTGGTCACCACCTGCAGAACCACTTCTTTATTGGGGGTGTCTTGCTAATTGCCTATAATTTCCACCTATTGTCTATTCCATTTGCACAACAGCATGTGAAATTTATTGTCAATCAGTGTTGCTTCCTAAGTGGACAGTTTGATTTCACAGAAGTGTGATTGACTTGAAGTTACATTGTGTTGTTTAAGTGTTCCCTTTATTTTTTTGAGCAGTGTACTTAAGTGGCAGTCTTTCTCCAATTTATAACATAATCCGTACTTTTCGTACATTAAGAGAGGAGTTGGAGCTTAAAAGCCCTAAAAAGGCATAGTGCCTCAAAGTACAAAGAAGTACTTTGCTTTATGTTTTTTGTGTATTTTATGTTAAATGTCTGCTCAGCCCACATGCTCACACTCTCTATATATGTACTGTATACAATAACTATGTATTCATACTATCACTCTTCCATTCCATGGAATGCCCACTGCCCTCATATGACATGTCTGCTAAAATGTTTTATCTGGTTCTTCAATGCTAGACGGAACAGACAAGGTTATCTTTGATTTTATACAAGTAAAGACCAATAAAATCCAACTTATTACATTTACCAGACGCTCTTATCCAGAGCGACTTACAGTTAGTGCATACATTATTCTTTTTTCATACTGGCCCCCCATGGGAATCGAACCCACAACCCTGGCGTTGCAAACGCCATGCTCTACCAACTGAGCTACCTCCCTGCCGGCCATTCCCTCCCCTACTCTGGACGAATTGTGCGCCGCCCCATTGGTCTCCCGGTTGCGGCCGGCTACAGCAGAGCCTGGATTCGAACCAGGATCTCTAGTGGCACAGCTAGCACTGCAATGCAGTGCCTTAGACCACTGCGCCACATGGAATGTGCATGGACTCCATGATGGGAAAAAAGCATATTGTTCTTGAACACTTAAAGAGATTGTCAGCAGATGTGGTTTTCCTACAAGAGTTACAGTACCTTTCAAAAAAGGAGAAATTGAATATTTAAAGAGGAGCTAGGTTGAAGAGGCCTATGCTGCCACCTACTCTAGTAACAGCATAGGTGTAGGCATCCTGATAAATAAGAATACACCATTTTCCCTTACATCCCAGAACACAGACCATGAAGGCCGTTTTCTAATGTTGAATTGTACCTTACATGGTGAAAAATGCACATTAATTTAATTGTATATCCCACCAGAGGCAAATCTGGTGTTTTTAGATAGACTTCAAGCTATTTTAGATCAAATCCAGACAGGAACTATTACTTTAGCAGACGACCTAAATCATTAATTTGATAAGATTGACAGACGTAGCAATAAAAAAGGCAAATTCAAGGAACCTCCAAAGAGGCTGAAAAATGTAATCTCTACAAATAATTTACAGGACACCTGGAGATTACTAGTGATACATTTGATACCGGAGCTCCGAGGCACGCATCGAAACCGCGAAGCAGTTTATTTTGAAGCAGTGTGCCGATGCTTGTATCGCTTTATCAGAAGCACGTGATCAATGATGTCCGAAGCTTTGTTTCATCGAACAACCACCTGATTGGTTTGGTAGAAGACTAAAAAGCAACACTGTGCACGCGCTACGGCGTGTGCAACGTCATATATAGTTATTTGTCTGTTCTAAATTATTTTGACCAGTAGGTGCCACTAGTGTACACTGTGTTGAGCAAAGCCTTGAGTAATGAACCTATTTTCGACACAATTGGTTGGAAATGCTCAATGCTTCAGGAAGCATAGTTTCCCCATCACTAGAGACTACTATTCCCAACTACAAAAGACAACCATTTTTTTTTCTCAAAGTAAGAAAAGCTATTCAATAATTGAATACATTTTTATTTCCAAAAATGTTCTCAACAATTTACTGGGTTAAAAAATCCATGACGTAGTGATATCGGATCATTCTCTGGTATCATGCGTAGCAGTCAAATGAACAAATCGCCCTCTAGTGGCCTCATGGGTGGAATGCTATTAATATTTTTCATAATTTCATAATTATTCTACATAAAAATCAAAAATAAAGAAACGCTGCAAATCCGGTGTTTCTACATCAAACGGTTTTGTTATATTTCAGTCTTCTGGGATGTTATATAAAGTGTAATATTGGAATGCAAACTCTTTTTTTAAAGACCATAACCATGTGTGTGAGGTGTATACTTTTGTTTCAAAGCAGATTTATTTAAGACTACCAAGAAACACTCTGTGCAACCCTGATTTAGCCTACTGCAGTATTAATTAAACCAACAGAAAATACACTTCGCAACAGAATATGGAGAATGAACAGAACGCACCTTCAAGACCCAAAATGTATTAAATATTTATATGAAAAAATAAATAACTTTACCATTACAAATTTAGACATAGAGGAAAGGCCCCTGATATCATTTGGGATGCTTTTAAGGTGTACATTAGGGGAATGGTAATCTGAGTTAGAAAGAAAAATGAAAGAAAAAAAAAATTACTATTTTAGAAAAAGCCCATAAAAAACCTTTACAAGATAAAAAAAATAAAAAAATAAAAAAATCTGAACTTAAGCAGGAATATGATCTTTACCTTTTGAAGAGCGCCAACAACTACAAGTTAAACTCAAATAAAGCAAATAAACCTGGTAAACATCTCACAAAACGAATACATGCCAAACCAGTTATCATTTTAAAAGATAAAGATACACATACGTTAATTTGAAACAACAACGCGATTAAAGCTTCTATGAAAAACTATATAAATCAGAATTAAACAACAGTTGGACAGACCCTGCAGCCTTAGACTCAACAACTCTGAAGCAATTATCAGTACACAAAAAAAGAATCTCTAAAAACAGAGATCACCCAAAAAGAAATATCAGACACTGTTAAAACATTAGCGTGGAGAAAAACACCAGGAATGGTAGGCTTTCCCATAGAATTCGATTTAACATTTTAGGACAAAGTAGCACCCCTATTTACACAAATGACAACACACATGTGACTCAATTCAGTGCTTCCTAGTTCCATGTATCAAACAGTTATTTCAGTTATATTAAAACCAGGAAAATCTGGAGAGTCCCCTGCTGATTACAGACCCATACGTTTAATACATTGTGACAATAAAATAATAACAAAACTCATAAGCAATAGAATGGCAAAAGTCTTACCAGACTTGATACATATCAATCAAATAGGGTTATTTAAAATATACACACACAAATACAAGAACATGTTAAAAAACAAGATATAGATTGATCAATTATGGCTGTTGATGCCGAAAAGGCATTTGAACGCTCTTGAATGGCCTTTTCTATTCAAAACGTTGGAAGCTTCAAACTTTCCAGCTGAAATAATAAATGTAATAAAATATTATATAAATGTCCTAAAGCACAAATATACACAAATAATACATTATCTGCTGAAATTGCTTTAGAAAGGGGCACAAGACAGGGATGTCCTCTCTCCCGCTCCTGTTTGCACTGGCAATTGAACTGCTTGCAGAAAGAATTAGAAAGGACCCAAACGTAACAGATATCAGAATTGATAAACATGAATATAAACTAAACTTATTTGCCGATGATCTCCTGATATACAGTACCAGTCAAAGATTTGGCCCACCTACTCATTCAATAGTTTTTTATTTTATTTTTTACATTGTAGAATAATAGTGAAGACATCAAAACTATGAGATAATCCTGTAGTACCTCAAAAAGTGTTAAACAAATATATTATATTTGAGTTTCTTCAAATAGCCACCCTTTGCCTTGATGACAGCATTGCACACACTTGGCATTCTCTCAACCAGCTCCACCTGGAATGCTTTTCCAACAGTCTTGAAGGAGTTCCTACATATGCTGAGCACTTGTTGGCTGCTTTTCCTTCACTCTGCGGTCCAACTCATCCTAAACCATCTCATTTGGGTTGAGGTTGGGGGATTGAGGAGGCCAGGTAATCTGATGCAGCACTCCATCACTCTCCTTCTTGGTAAAATAGCTTTTACACAGCCTGGAGGTGTGTTGGATCATTGTCCTGTTGAAAAACAAATGATAGTCTCACTAAGCCCAAACCAGATGGGATGGCGTATCGCTGCAGAATGCTGTGGTAGCCATGCTGGTTCAGTGTGCCTTGAATTCTAAATAAATCACAGACAGAGTCACCAGCAAAGCACCCCCACACCATAACACCTCCTCCTCCATGCTTTACGGTGGGAACTATACATGCGGATATCATCTGTTCACCCACACCGCGTCTCACAAAGACACGGCGGTTGGAACAAAAAATCTCAAATTTGGACTCCAGACCAAAGGACACATTTCCACCGGTCTAATGCCCATTGCTCATGTTTCTTGGCCCAAGCAGGTCTCTTCTTCTTATTGGTGTCCTTTAGTAGTGGTTTCTTTGCAGCAATTCGACCATGAAGGTCTGATTCACACAGTCCCCTCTGAACAGTTGATGTTGAGATGTGTCTGTTACTTGAACTCTGTGAAGCATTTATTTGGGCTGAAATTTCTGAGGCTGGTAACTCTGCAGCAGAGGTAACTATGGGTCTTCCATTACTGTGGTGGTCCTCATGAGAGCCAGTTTCATCACAGCACTTGATGGTTTTTGCGACTGCTCTTGAAGAAACTTTCAATGTTCTTGAAATGTTCTGTATTGACTGACCTTCATGTCTTAAAGTAATGATGGACTGTCGTTTCTCTTTGCTTATTTGAGCTGTTCTTGCCATAATATGGACTTGGTCTTTTACCAAATAGGGCTATCTTCTGTATACCCCCCCCCTACCTTGTGACAACACAACTGATTGGCTCAAACACATTAAGAAGGAAATAAATTCCACAAAATAACTTTTAAGAAGGCTCACCTGTTTATTGAAATGCATTCTAGGTGACTACCTCATGAAGCTGGTTGAGAGAATGCCAAGAGTGGGTAAAGCTGTCATCAAGGCAAATGGTGGCTATTTGAAGAATCTCAAATGTAAAATATATTTTGATTTGTTTAACACTTTTTTGGTCACTACATGATTCCATATGTGTTATTTCATCGTTTTGATGTCTTCACTATTATTCTACAATGTAGAAAATAGTAAAAATAAATAAAAACCCTTGAATGAGTAGGTGTGTCCAAACTTTTGACCGGTAGTGTACCTGACCAATATTGAAAGCTCAATGACCCCCTAGCAAAAAATATTTTCAGAATACTCTAAAACACGTGTCAAACTCATTCCACGGAGGGCCGAGTGTCTGCAGGTTTTCGCTCCTCCCTGGTACTTGATTGATTAATTAAGGTGACTGATTAGTAAGGAACTCCTCTCACCTGGTTGTCTAGGTCTTAATTTAAAGGAAAAAACAAAAACCAGCAAACACTAGGCGCTCCATGGAATGAGTTTGACACCCTTGCTCTAAAATCTCAGGATGTATAATTAATGTGGAAAAAACGGAACTAATGGCAATAGGAAAAATAAAAGAATAACTAATGATCTACAGCAATCCTTTAAAAAATATATAAAATACTTAGGATGTTTAATAATTGACAACAACCAACAAATATACAAAGACAACTTTATCCCATTACTTAACAATATGAAAGCAGATCTAATTAAATGGAACAATCTTCACATAAATCTTATTGGTAGAAGAAACCTCTTCAGAATGGCTTCCAAAGTTGTTATACAGTGGGGAGAACAAGTATTTGATACACTGCCGATTTTGCAGGTTTTCCTACTTACAAAGCATGTAGAGGTCTGTAATTTTTATCATAGGTACACTTCAACTGTGAGAGACGGAATCTAAAACAAAAATCAAGAAAATCACATTGTATGATTTTAAAGTAATTAATTTGCATTTTATTGCATTACATAAGTATTTGATACATCAGACATGCAATTTTTTGGTCCATTAAAATAACATCAAATTGATAAGAAATACAGTGTAGACATTATTAATGTTGTAAATGTTGATAGTAGCTGGAAACGGCTGAATTTTAATGGAATATCTACATAGGCATACAGAGGCCCATTATCAGCAACCATCAGTCCTGTGTTCCAATGGCACGTTGTGTTTGCTAATCCAAGTTGATCATTTTAAAAGGCTAATTGATAATTAGAAAACCCTTTTGCAATTATGTTAGCACAGCTGAAAACGGTTGGCCTTCTTAAGACTAGTTGAGTATCTGGAGCATCAGCAACTGTGGGTTCGATTACAGGATCAAAATGGCCAGAAACAAATAACTTTATTCTGAAACTCGTCAGTCTATTCTTGTTCTGAGGTTCATACTTAATGATGGTGTTGGAGTCGTGCTTGGCCACATAGTCGTGGGTGAACACGGAGTACAGGAAGGGACTAAGCACCCACCCCTGAGGGGACCCCGTGTTGAGGATCAGTGTGGCAGATGTGTTGTTGCCTACCCTTACCAACTGGGGACAGCCCGTCAGGATCCAGTTGCAGAGGGAGGTGTTTAGTCCCAGGGTCCTTAGCTTAGTGATGAGCTTTGTGGGCACTATGATGTTGAACGCTGAGCTGTATTCAATGAACAGCATTCTCACATAGGTGTTCCTTTTGTCCAGGTGGGAAAGGGGAGTGTGGAGTGTGGTTGAGATTGCGTCATCTGTGGATCTGTTGGGGCGGTATGTGAATTGGAGTGGGTCTAGGGTTTCCGGGATGATGGTGTTGATGTGAGCCATGACCATCCTTTCAAAACACTTCATTGCTACCGACGTGAGTGCTACAGGGCGGTAGTCATTTAGGCAGGTTACCTTCGCTTTCTTGGGCACAGGGACTATGGTGGTCTGCTTGAAACATTTATGTATTACAGACTCGGTCAGGTAGAGTTTGAAAATGTCAGTGAAGACACTTGCCAGTTGGTCCACGCATGCTCTGAGAACACGTCCTGGTAATCCGTCTGGCCCCGCGGCCTTGTGAATGTTGACCTGTTTAAAGGTCTTGCTCACATCGGCTACAGAGAGCGTGATCACACAGTCGTCCGGAACAGCTGGTGCTCTCATGCATGCTTCAGTGTTGCTTGCCTCGAAGTGAGCATAAAAGGCATTTAGCTCATCTGATAGGCTCGTGTCACTGGGCAGCTCGTGGCTGGGTTTCCCTTTATAGTCCGTAATAGTTTGCAAGCCCTGCCACATCCGATGAGCGTCAGAGCCAGTGTAGTAGGATTAAATCTTAGTCCTGTACTGACGCTTTGCCTGTTTGATGGTTCGTCTGAGGGCATAGCGAGATTTCTTATACGTGTCCAGATTAGTGTCCTGCTCCTTGAAAGCGGCAGCTCTAGCCTTTAGCTCAGTGCGGATATTTCCTGTAATCCATGGCTTCTGGTTGGGATATGTATTTACGGTCCCAGTGGGGACGACGTCGTCGATGCACTTATTGATGAAGCCGGTGACTGAGGTGGTATACTCTTCAATGCCATTGGATGAATCCCAGAACATATTCCAGTCTGTGCTAGCAAAACAGTCCTGTAGCGTAGCATCCGTGTCATCTGACCACTTCCGTATTGAGCGAGTCACTGGTACTGCTTTAGTTTTTGCTTGTAAGCAGGAATCAGGAGGATAGAATTATGGTCAGATTTGCCAAATGGAGGGCGAGGGAGAGCTTTGTATGCGTCTCTGTGTGTGGAGTAAAGGTGGTCTAGGGTTTCTTTTCCTCTGGCTGCACATGTGACATGCTGGTAGAAATGAAGTAAAATGGATTTAAGTTTGCCTGCATTAAAGTCCCCGGACACTAGGAGCACCGCTTCTGGATGAGCATTTTATTTTTTGCTTATGGCCTTATACAGCTTGTTGAGTGCAGTCTTAGTGCCTTTATCTGTTTGGGGTGGTAAATAGACGGCTACAAAAAATATAGATGAAAACTCTCTTGGTAAATAGTGTGGTCTACAGCTTATTATGAGGTACTCTACCTCAGGCGTGCAATACTTTGAGACTTCCTTAATTGTTGACATCGCACACTAGCTGTTATTGACAAATAGACACGCACCCCCACCACTCGTCTTACCAGACGTACCTGTTCTGTCCTGCCGATGCACAGAAAACCCAGCCAACTGTATATTATCCTTATCGTCGTTCAGCCACGACTTGGTGAAACATAAGATATTACAGTTTTTAATGTCCCATTGGTAGGATAGTCTCTCCAGTGATTGCACGTTGGCCAATAGAACGGATGGTAGAGGCGGGTTACCCACTCGCCGACGAATTCTCATAAGGCACCCTGAGCTCCGCCCCCTGTATTTCCATCTTTTCTCCACACGAATGACGGCGATTTGGGCCTGGTCTCGGAGAAGCAGTATATAGTTCGCGTCGGACTCATTAAATAAAACATTTTCATCCAGTTCAAGGTGAGTTATCGCTGTTCTGATATTCAGAAGCTCTTTTCGGTCATTAGAGACAGTAGCAGCAACATTATGTACAAAATAAGTTACAAACAACGCAAAAAAACACACAGAATAACACAGTTGGTTAGGAGCCCGTAAAACGGCAGCTATCCCCTCCGGCGCTACACAGCCATGCACACATAATCACAGAGGTTATGTGTGCATGGCTGTGTGTGTCTGTCTCTTCCTCTCTCTCCTGTCTAGGAATGTGATTAGCTGATACAGCTCAAACCATTTGACCTGCAGAAACCCCTCCAACAGCAAACCAGAAGTTACCTCAGCTCAGCAAACTGTCTAAGGCGACAGCCATCCTGTTTCCTCTTCTGCTCAAGTACAAGGGTGGCTTTACAGCACGTGCCATGTTTAGCCTTGCTAGTAGAATAGGGTCTACGCAAGTTCATTCTACCAGATCTATGATAGAGGAAGTGTATTCAGATATAGAGGGGGTTTATGAGGAAGTGGGCCTATTTGGGGCTTCTGCTGAAGGAAATGAAAGGTTCATCCGGTCCCCCTACCCGCTTCGCTGACTCAGCCACTCAGACCATTGTGTGACATTTAAATCCACTCATCTCTGAACATCTCTACACTACTTGACATTTAACAAATGGCTCTGTGGGCATGCAAAAACAGGGAGGTTCTGAGAGTGCATGATTAAAAAAGAAGATAGTATCTCTGATCAATCCTCCACGGAGCAATACAGAGGGTATACAGTAAGGACTGGTTACGCTAGCTGTGTGTGAGCTATTATCCTTGCTTACCAGGCTTACTATAAGACACACGGGACAGACTAAAAAGCTATTTCTACTGTTTGTGCTGAGTGACTGTGGAGAAGTGTAAATGTACACTCTGCTTCAGAGCTTAGGCAAGTGACACCGAATTTACATCTGTGCTGATGAGTCCTTATCCATCTCAGCCCTTTCACATTCAAACCGTCATAGCATTAGTGTATCCCCTCTCTAATCTCTCTAAGCCCCTCTCCCTGCCCACAGCAGGCTGCTGGCATTACTAGTGTTTCTGATGAGTTAAACACTGGAGTTGTACAGTACAGCCTAGCTACTGTAAACACCACCTCTATAGGATGAGTTATCGTCCAAACAAATGTTACATAAAGTGCTTTGGGAATCTACACACCTGTGGATAAAGGACCCCCAGCTGAGTCATCATGCTACTTACTGTACCTCTCCTAGAACTGAATGCTAACAGGTCTTCACATCATCAACTGGGCCCTCCAATAGTCCAGTATAATACATAGGGCATGTACACTAACAATCAATTCAAGAAAAAGTGTGTGTGTGAGAAACAGAAGACCACAAAACGGAAGTGAGCAATCATTCCCAGTCCTTTATCCTTCCAGCACAAACAAACCCTACCCTGAAATAAAGATTAAACAGACAGATATTGCTGGTCAAGATTTGTGTTTGTGCCATGGGAAATCACTCAATAACAAGGAGTGATACAGGATCTGGTCTTAAAGGCCCAGTACAGTCAAAATTCTGTTTTTCCTGGGTTTTATATAATATTGTTGTTTCTATGTCAAACAGTTTTGTTATATTTCAGTCTTCTGTGATGTATATCAGAATATTTCTCAACTCTATATCTGACATGGTACAGGTGTCATCTTATTTTTAAACCCATAACCATGTGTGTGAGGTGAATACTTTGTTTAAGACTACCAAGAATCACTCCGTGTGACCCTGATTTAGCCCATTGGACTAAAAGGTTAAAAAATGTGATCAGTGTTATTTCCTGATAGTTGCTGGTTGAAAATACAATATACACAGGACCTTCTAATCAGCAGGTTTGCATGGGTGGGAGTTTCGGCTTTCCATAGTGACATCACCATGCAGTGAATTGGTTAATAAACCAATAACAAATAGATTCCAAACCTCTTTGCCAATAACAGCTACTTTTCAGTTTTCCCCTCCCCAATCAGACCACTCCCAGACAGTCCTAGCAAAAGTATTGCTTGAGAAAGCGTTTTTTGCTAAAAAGCCATTTTTGCCCATTATAATGGCAATCTATTACAGTAAGGTACTAAATTGTTACCCAGAAATGATTTGATATTGATATAAAAATGGCTGCATTGAGCCTTTAAGAAACAGGAACAACAGCAGCTAACAGAGTAATGACAGTTTAAACACATACTGACCGTGACCGTGGAGATCAACATTGCCACTGCCAGCAGGTGCTCTCAGGCCAGAGGCCATAGGTGAGAGGGTAAGGAGCAGGGTGTTCAGTTGCTTAGAACCGCATGTACTGTACACATACTGAGAAGAATAGCAGAAGGCGGTTTGAAACTTGGAATGAAAAAGTCTGGACAGTGAAAAATAGTGTGTTACATGTTGGGGGAAGATGCCAACTTGAGACTTTCGCAACCGTGGTGTTGGACAGTGGTGGAGACTGTTACATAATAAGGCCCCAGTTATTGGAGGTCACGGATATGGAGTCATGCTTGCTTGGGTCATGACGAAGAGAGAATTTTACAGATCAGCCAGTCAGAGTGATTTTAAAGTAGAGCAACCAATCAAACTTCTCTTCACAGTCCACACTAACAGAACACATACATGACATCACATGATCTAAGCCTACATCAAACTATGCCCACAAGCGCATTCACAGACATTAAAAAACATGGATAAACATCTCTCCCTCTCTCCCTCCCACACACACACACACAGTCATACACACACACACACTCATCATGTCTCACGTGTCAATTCTAGGGTACACTGGGTTCAGTCTCTTCTTGGAAAGTTATGTTTAATTATGTTTTCCTTAAGTAAACTAAGGGGAGGCTCCCTTACACACACTAATAAAGAGAGCAGTAAGGAGAGAATCAGGCCAGGGAAAGAGAGACAGACAAAGGGAGAAAAATAAAGCAAGACAGAGAGAAGAGGGCTCAAGGGGGGAAAAGGGTGTGGAGTAAAGAACAGCATGTGAAAAGTGAGGAGAGGAATGAAGAGGGAATGCCAAAGGGAGAGTTGTGGATACGTTGGAAAGCTGACAGAAGAGGGGTGTGTGGTCTGGGGGTCTATGGGATGGTTGGGGGGTGGGGTGGAGTAGGGAGGTCTGCAGTTGCTGTTATGTAACAGAGTTTGGTCAGTGTGGTTGTACTGCCATGTGCAAACTTTATGACCTAAAGGGTAGACCTTCACCTCATACAGTTACAGTGTATAGTCATTAAAAAAACACACATGAACCTACACAGGGTTAAAAAAGACACACACACACACACACACACACACACACTACACCACAGTGAATTAACAACACATAAAGAGTTCAAACGTGGCATTTAAACATCACACAGCTTCATTCACTAGGGAAGATACAGTATTTTCCTGGAAGAGCAGCACGTGTACATCCATACTGACACACTGACATAGACACAGCTATCTTTCTTTCAGTATGTGTGTGTGTCTGATATGTATGGTTCTACCCCTCTCTATATCTGTCACTACAGAGACGGTATACAGATAGTGCTTTAGGCCTGCACACGTGGCTGACTAACTGCTGGCAGCGCTTTCAGGACTTTATGATTTTAACACCAACATATGCAGGGCAAAGGGGTCATGAAAATGTACTTTGGAAATTACCGGCAAAGGTTGGGAAGACAAAATAAATCTAAGTAAAGTGAAACAAATAAACAAGCCCAAATAAACAGGCCCAACCCACTGGGCACACACTTGTTGAATCAATGTTGTTTCCATGCCATTTCAATTAAATTATGCGGAACTAATGTGGAATAGACGTTGAATTGACGTTTGTGCCCAGTGGGAAAGCACTTTGTGTTGTTTAGTGGTTAACTTATTCACAGAAACATATTTTGCATGATCTGAGTGAGTGTGTGTGTGTTTGTGGCTGTGTGAGATAGAGAGTGAGTGAGAGAAAGGAACATAAAATTTGACATACCAATTAGGATCTGGCTAAAAATACTTTAATCAGTTATAGAACCCATTGCCCTTTATGGTTGTGAGGTCTGGGGTCCGCTCACCAACCAAGAATTCACAAAATGGGACAAACATCAAAAAGAGACTCTGCATGCAGAATTCTGCAAAAATATCCTCAGTGTACAACGAAAAACACCAAATAATGCATGCAGAGCAGAATTAGGACGATACCCGCTAATTATCAAAATCCAGAAAAGAGCCATTAAATTCTATAACCACTTAAAAGGAAGCGATTCCCAAACCTTCCATAACAAAGCCATCACCTACAGAGAAATTAACTTGGAGAAGAGTCCCCTAAGCAAGCTGGTCCTGGGGCTCTGTTCACAAACACAAACAGACCCCACAGAGCCCCAGGACAACAACACATTTAGATCCAACCAAATCATGTGAAAACAAAAAGAGAATTACTTGACACATTGGAAAGAATTAACAAAAAAACAGAGCAAACTAAAATGCTATTTGGCCCTAAACAGAGAGTACATAGTGGCAGAATATCTGACCACTGTGACTGACCCAAACTTAAGGAAAGCTTTGACTATGTACAGACTCAGTGAGCATAGCCTTGCAAAGTATGAAAAAATTTAAATTTAAAAAAATGTATGCACTCACTATCTGTAAGTCGCTCTGGATAAGAGCGTCTGCTAAATGACTAAAATGTAAAAAGTAATTGAGAAAGGCCGCCGTAGGCAGACCTGGCTCTCAAGAGAAGACAGGCTATGTGCACACTGCCCACAAAATGAGGTGGAAACTGAGCTGCACTTCCTAACCTCCTGCCAAATGTATGACCATATTAGAGACACATATTTCCCTGACATTACACAGATCCACAAAGAATTAGAAAACAAACACAATTTTGTTTTCAGTGCGCCATCACAGCAGTAAGATTTGTGACCTGTTGCCACAAGAAAAGGGCAACCAGTGAAGAACAAACACCATTGTAAATACAACCCATATTTATGTTTATTTATTTTCCCATTTGGACTTAACTATTTGCACATTGTTACAACACTGTATATATACATAATATGACATTTGAAATGTCTTTATTCTTTTGGAACATCTGAGTGTAATGTTTACTGTTAATTTGTATTGTTTATTTCACGTTTGTTAACTAACTACTTCACTTGCTTTGGCAATGTTAACATACGTTTCCCATGCCAATAAAGCCCTTAAATTGAATTGAAATTGAGAGAGAAAGAAAGAGAGAGAGAGAGAGAGAGAAAGAGAGAGAGAGAGAGAGAGAGAGAGAGAGAGAGAGAGAGAGAGAGAGAGAGAGAGAGAGAGAGAGAGAGAGAGAGAGAGAGAGAGAGAATATCAGAGGTAAGTGGACACAGACGCAATGGAGAGATGATCCAACGTGATTCAGCTAAATCTCACATTAAGCCAGAATGAGTGAATGCCCAAAACTCACACACTGACAGACACTAGCACATTAACCCTCTCTAACACAATGAGCAGGTACAGAGGGTACAATCAAACCATGAAAGGCAAATATTTACGTAGGCCGACACCCAAAGAGGCAGTGTGTATATGTGTGTGTATGTGTGTGTGTGTGTCTGTGAGAGAGAGAGTCTGAACCCAGTGCACCCTAGAGACATGATGAGTGTGTGTGTGTGTGTGTGTGTGTGTGTGTGTGTGTGATAGCCTATATGCGTTATGAGAAACCGCCAACCTACAATCGTAAATTATTCATAAGTTAACCTGTCGTTAAGTAGGCGTAATATGAGTGTCTTCAAACGTGTGCTTAATATAAGTAGGCGTGATATGAGTGTCTTCAAACGTGTGCTTAATATAAATCAATCAATCAATCACATTTTATTTATAAAGCCCTTTTTACATCAGCAGATGTCACAAAGTGCTATACAGAAACCCAGCCTAAAACCCCAAACAGCAAGCAATGCAGATGTAGAAGCACAGTGGCTAGGAAAAACTCCCTAGAAAGGCAGAAACCTAGGAAGAAACCTAGAGGAACCAGGCTCTGAGGGGTGGCCAGTCCCCTTCTGGCTGTGCCGGGTGGAGATTATAACAGTACATGGCCATTAAGGCCAGATTTTTCTCCAAGATGTTCAAACGTTCATAGATGACCAGCAGGGTCAAATAATAATCACAGTGGTTGTAGAGGTTGCAACAGGTCAGTACATTAAGAGTAAACGTCACTTGGCTTTTCATAGCCGGGCATTTAGAGGTTGAAATAGCAGGTGCGGTAGAGAGAGAGAGTTGAAAACAGCAGGTCTGGGACAAGGTAGCACGTCCGGTGAACAGGTCAGGGTTCCATAGCCGCATATAAAGTCAGTATGCTGTATTTGATGGGGTACATATCGTACACTCAGAGTTGAATCTCAGAGGAGAGGTCTATGGAAGATATTGCAACTGGGCTGGCCTGTCCATTCATAACCTATTATACACATTTTTTTGTCACTGGAATGTTCCTGCTCATGTTACAATGGTGCTTCAAATGACCATGCATATAAAACCCATATTAAACTGTCATCATCTGGGTTTAGTGATAAGAACCCAAGAGAGAAGGGGTCAAGCTACTTTACTTTGTTCTGTTTGTTCCAAACTGCTGTAATCTGTTTAACTCCAACCTCCTTGGATATCTTTTGTCCTAATAAAACAATGTTTTACTGTATTTGTGTGTACCATGTTATCAACGTCTGATCTGTTCTATTGTAAAGTATAGATATCAGACAGCTGAACCCTCCTGTGAGTAGGGACATGGCATGGTCTGGCATTACACAGGCAACAGCCAAAGAGCAGTTTGAGCATAAACTAAGAGTACAGTAAATTAATAGGTCAACATCGCCCCCTGGTGAAATTCTGTAACATCATTATTGAGGCTGCTTCATTGCCAGTAGCCTACAGAAATTACAAGGGTATTTTGCTTGATTAATTACATGATAGAATGGCAACGTTATTACACCAAGGATTCAGGTACTAGGGTTGATCAAAAGTCCTACCAAATTAGCACCATTCGTTTACAATAACCTGAATTCTTGAAGAAGGGCTAAATTAAAAACCTGCTCAAAAACATATACTGAGGTGCACACAGTGCAAATGTCGATGTTTCCGAGTAATAAGAAAAATTAAGAAAGCAAGGCAAAAAGTGAGACCACAGATAGCTGCCGAAACCCGGGATCGAACCAGGGACCTTTAGATCTTCAGTCTAACGCTCTCCCAACTGAGCTATTTCGGCGCTCTACTCATATTGCCCACTCCATGGCTTATTTACTCCACTCCTTCGTTTCCTTATGTAGTCTATCCTTTCCTTCGTTGAGTATACAAAATGTGAAATGGAGAATACCGTGGGGTTGCCACAGGGTGCTGCTCAAACTTCAACAAAAACATTGTTGTTCAGGGCAAGGAAGCACACTAGTATATAATACTACGTGCTATCGGCTTGACAACGGTGAGTCTAGGACATTTTTGGTAGCGACACAACCCAATTGATCTGCCGTTCGCTAGCAAGACGCTACCAACATTTGCCATCACAAGCCAACCAGAGACGGCAACGCTAGCAAGATCTATCAATAATTGGCCAATGAGAACAGAGCTGTGGAATTGGCCAATGGAGATAGAACTAAGGCGGGACCTAGAAGAGGAGCGTCTCTCCACTCGAACTATAAATCGCACTGTACATTTAAAGGATTAATTGGGATGGTCCCTCACGGCGCAGTAACCTTTGTGTCGTCTCTCTATGAAGGTGCCATCAGCGATAAAGAGATTATGAAGCAGTCTGGCATTGTGGCTATCTTAAACCCATTAATATTTTTTAGAACTGCATAGTCCTTCAATGCACCTGCTTCCATTTCCAGCCCCCTTTTCATTAGTGGTGTTTGTCTTGTCCCTCTGATAATTCTTTCTGCAGGTTTTTCTGCTGTGCTTGTACCTCTAACATGGCTTACCTCCCAGAAATGTGAAGCAGTCACTCTCTCCTTCCTCAGTGAATGCCACTTGGGTGTTTCACTTTGGCATCTGGTTGCTTCCTCAATCAGGTGTGACTGTGACAAAGTCACAGACAGAGAACTGAGGTGAAGCTTTTCTTGATCCGTCATGATCTCGTATGAACAGTCTGTTGGTTGTAAATGGTAACCGTCCAGTGGCACTTTTGGGAACGGTGGTGCATCCTCATGGATGACAACACTGTCAGGTGGAGGTGGTGGGTGTTGATATGACAGGATACTGCCAGTTTGTACCTTGCCAAAAATGGAGTCCACGAGTGGTTTGTCAGATGTGATGTTCATTCTGCAGATAAGTGGAAGAGAGTCTGGTTCCATGTCAGCATAGGCAGGTAGTGGGTTGAGGGTTGATGGGTCTGGTAGCTCACCGCTGTAGCCCTTGTAAAGTGTAGATCTGGAATAACAATATCAGGAAAAGTAAAGGGTTCACTAGGATATACACAAGAATCTAACAGCGATTAATAACATTTATTTCGCAACACATTGTAGTCTGCCTATTTAATTGGACTCTGCAGACCTAATTCCACTTGCCGGAGTAGCATCTGGTTTGGGCTTCACTACAACCATGGCATCCACAGGTCCTGGCTTCACTCCCTATTTATTTATGAGATGGTATTAGGAGAGATGCTAGTATGCATGTGACACAACTGTCTGGTATTGAAATGATACAAACCACTGTTCGTGGTTTATGCCACATCTGCTCTGTTTCAGTGCACGAAAGTACAGGAGGGACGACAGACATGCCACATTCAGAGTAATGGGCAGTCTGATATAGTAATGCAACCAAATGATTGCATATCCCACACCCAGCCACACAGGAACAGTAGCTTTTAACAAGCACAACTGGCTGTGAATCACGCAATGTCATCTAAAATACACAGAAGCATAATTTAATGGGTTTTGAAAGACAAGGGTCTACAGCAGCAGGAGTAGGAGCAAAACTTGTTCTTTCTACTTTTTACTGGTGTAAGCAACTTATCTACTGTCTCGTGTCACTTTTGTGCTTTCTGCATCACTTTCATCCTGTCTTGCACCACTTGGCTATACTGTCTCCCACCACTTACCTATTGTCTTGTGCCATTTACCTACCTTCAAACAGTATTGGCAGAGCATTAGGTGAGTGGTGCAACATTGTAGCCTAGTACCAATAACAACAGTAGAGTGAAGGTTTTGCTCCTAATTCCTCTTGAAAAGTAGAAACATCAAGAATAAAAGCAAGGAAGTTGGGGCATATGTTTATAAAGAAAGAAGTAAAGATGACAGGACAGTTTTGAGTAGAACATCAGCAGTTTGAAGAATAGCTGAGTGGAATATGTTACTGTCATTGCAGTCATCAAGTCAGGAAAAAGTAGCAATCTCATTATTGTTTACATTTCAAACCAAACTCCAATTTGTTTACAACAGACCCAACAACAAAGCATGGCAATTCCCACTCAGCTACCCTGGTCTGTATTAGGCTACCACTGTTTAGCTATCGTGAAAACCATAAAAGTTCTAAAGTGTTCTCTTAGCAATGGCAATCAAAGCTGTGGTAACATTAAACGAGTAAAACATGTGTTGAACGGAACCTTGAACAAGTTCAACAGAACTTTGAACGTGTCACTTAATCTAGTCCTACTCTCAGCTGGTGTGGTGGCTTTAGTTTCTTCATTGAGCGGTAGCAGTGGGCTCTCACAGAGATCTCATTTGTAGCCCTGTTTTTACCTGATACTTTCATAAAAGTACAAACACATGAAGTGAGAGGTATATACACATGATTCAACTTTATTTAAAGCATGATTAACCTGAAGCAGGACGGAGTCATGACTTAAAACACCAAAGCAAGGCTTCTAGCTCAGGCTAGCTAGCGTTAGCATATTACCTTCAAAGTTGCAAAGAAAAGAAGAAACGTAAAATTTGAAGCCTTTATCCAGTTTGCTATGTGGTGTCGTACTGGATGTCCGGACGACCCTCCGTATATCATTAGCAGATACTTTAGGCAACTCCAGCAAACACCTTGTAAACTTCATCTCTGCCATCATAACGGTCTACTGTCACTGGCTAATGTTTTTTTCCGGTAACCGGAAATGCCCAAGCATCCTTACGCCAATGCAGAAGTGATGCGTGCATAGAGCCTATTGGTTACTCTTCAATTCAATTTAAGGGCTTTATTGGTATGGGAAACGTGTGTTAACATTGCCAAAGCAAGTGAAGTAGATAGTAAACAAAAGTTAAATAAACAATAAAAGTTAACAGTAAACATTACACTCAGAAGTTCCAAAAGGATAAAGACATTTCAAATGCCATATTATGTACAGTTGAAGTCGAAAGTTTACATACACCTTAGCCAAATACATTTAAACTCAGTTTTTAAAAATTCTTGACATTCAATCCTAGTAAAAATTCCTTAACCTAGGTCAGTTAGGATCACCACTTTATTTTAAGAATGTGAAATGTCAGAATAATAGTAGAGAGAATGATTTATTTCAGCTTTTATTTCTTTCATCACATTCCCAGTGGGTCAGAAGTTTACATACACTCAATTAGTATTTGGTAGCATTGCCTTTAAATTGTTTAACTTGGGTCAAACATTCCGGGTAGCCTTCCACAAGCTTCCCACAATAAGTTGGGTGAATTTTGGCCCATTCCTCCTGACAGAGCTGGTGTAACTGAGTCAGGTTTGTAGGCCTCCTTGCTCGCACACGCTTTTTCAGTTCTGCCCACAACTTTTCTATAGGATTGAGGTCAGGGCTTTGTGATTGCCACTCTAATACCTTGACTTTGTTGTCCTTAAGCCATTTTGCCACAACTTTGGAAGTGAGCTTGGGGTCATTGTCCATTTGGAAGACCCATTTGCGACCAAGCTTTAACTTCCTAACATGTCTTGACATGTTGCTTCAATATATCCACATAATTGTCCTTCCTCATGATGCCATCTATTTTGTGAAGTGCACCAGTCCCTCCTGCAGCAAAGCACCCCCAAAGCATAATGCTGCCACCCCGTGCTTCACGGTTGGGATGGTGTTCTTCGGCTTGCAAGTGTAACGATGGTCATTATGGGAAAAAGTTCTATTTTTGTTTCATCAGACCAGAGGACATTTCTCCAAAAAGTACGATCTTTGTCCCCATGTGCAGTTGCAAACCGTAGTCTGGCTTTTTTATAGCGGTTTTGGAGCAGTGGCTTCTTCCTTGCTGAGCGGCCTTTCAGGTTATGTCGATATAGGACACGTTTTACTGTGGATATAGATACTTTTGTACCTGTTTCCTCCAGCATCTTCACATGGTCCTTTGATGTTATTCTGGGATTGATGTGCACTTTTCGCACCAAAGTCGGTTCATCTCTAGGAGACAGAACACGTCTCCTTCCTGGGCGGTATGACAGCTGCGTGGTCCCATGGTGTTTATACTTGTGCACTATTGTTTGTACAGATGAACGTGGTACCTTCAGGTGTTTGGAAATTGCTACCAAGGATGAACCAGACTTGTGAAGGTCTACAATTAATTTTCTAAGGTCTTGGCTGATTTCTTTTGATTTTCCCATGATGTCAAGCAAAGAGGCACTGAGTTTGAAGGTAGGCCATGAAATACATCCACAGGTACACCTCCAATTGATTCAAATTATGTTAATTAGTAATTAGTATGAAAAATGTATGCACTCACTAACTGTAAGTCGCTCTGGATAAGAGCGTCTGCTAAATGAGTAAAATGTAAAAATGTAAATTAGCCTATCGGAAGCTTCTAAAGCCATGACATCATCTTTTGGAATTTTCCAAGCTGTTTAAAGGCACAGTCAACTTAGTGTATGTAAACTTCTGACCCACCGGAATTGTGATACAGTGAATTATAAGTGAAATAATCTGTCTGTAAACAATTGTTGGAAAAATTACTTGTGTCATGCACAAAGTAGATGTCCTAACCGACTTGCCAAAACTATAGTTTGTTAACAAGAAATTTGTGGAGTGGTTGAAAAACGAGTTTTAATGACTCCAACCTAAGTGTATGTAAACTTCCGACTTCAACTGTATATATACAGTGTTGTAACAATGTGCAAATAGTTAAAGTCCAAACCTAAATATGGGTTGTATTTACAATGGTGTTTGTTGTTCACTGGTTGTCCTTTTCTTGTGGCAGCAGATCACAAATCTTGCTGCTGTGATTGCACACTGTGGTATTTCACCCAGTAGATATGGGAGTTTATCAAAATTGGGTTTGTTTTCAAATTCTTTGTGGATCTGTGTAATCTGAGGGAAATATGTGTCTCTAATATGGTCATACATTTGGCAGGAGGTTAGGAAGTGCAGCTCAGTTTCCATCTCATTTTGTGGGCAGTGTGCACATAGCCTGTCTTCTCTTGAGAGCCAGGTCTGCCTACAGCGGCCTTTCTCAATAGCAGGCTATGCTCACTAAGTCTGTACATAGTCAAAGCTTTCCTTAAGTTTGGGTCAGTCACAGTGGTCAGGTATTCTGCCACTGTGTACTCTCTGTTTAGAGCCAAATAGCATTCTAGTTTGCTCTGTTTTTTTGTTAATTCTTTCCAATGTGTCAAGTAATTCTCTTTTTGTTTTCACATGATTTGGTTGGATTTAAATGTGTTGTTGTCCTGGGGCTCTGTGGGGTCTGTTTGTGTTTGTGAACAGGGCCCCAGGACCAGCTTGCTTAGGGGACTCCTCTCCAAGTTAATCTCTCTGTAGGTGATGGCTTTGTTATGGAAGGTTTGGGAATCGCTTCCTTTTAAGTGGTAATAGAATTTAACAGCTCTTTTCTGGATTTTGATAATTAGCGGGTATCGGCCTAATTCTGCTCTGCATGCATTATTTGGTGTTTTCCGTTGTACACTGAGGATATTTTTTGCAGAATTCTGCATGCAGTCTGAATTTGGTGTTTGTCCCATTTTGTGAATTCTTGGTTGGTGAGTTGACACCAGACCTCACAACCATAAAGGGCAATGGGTTCTATAACTGATTAAAGTATTTTTAGCCAGATCCTAACTGGTATGTCAACTTCTGTGTTCCTTGTGATAGCTTAGAAGCCCGGCCCGTTTAGGCCGAGGCATGTATAGTGTTTTGTGTGCTCTAGGGCAAAGGTGTCTAGATGGAATTTGTATTTGTGGTCCTGGCAACTGGACCTTTTTTGGAACACCATTATTTTTTGTCTTACTGAGATTTACTGTCATGGCCCAGGTCTGACAGAATCTGTGCAGATTATCTAGGTGCTGCTGTAGGCCCTCCTTGATTGGTGACAGAAGCACCAGATCATCAGCAAACAGTAGACATTTGACTTCAGATTCTAGTAGGGTGAGGCCGGGTGCTCCAGACTGTTCTAGTGCCCTCACCAATTCATTTATATATATTGAAGAGGGTGGGGCTTAAACTGCATCCCTGTCTCACCCCACGGCCCTGTAGAAAGAAATGTGTGTGTTTTTTTGCCAATTTTAACTGCACACTTGTTGTTTGTGTACATGGATTTTATAATGTTGAATGTTTTTCCCACAACACCACTTTCCATCCATTTGTATAGCAGACCCTCATGCCAGATTGAGTCAAAAGCTTTTTTGAAATCAACAAAGTATGAGAAGACTTTGCCTTTGTTTTGGTTTGTTTGTTTGTCAATTAGGGTGTGCAGGGTGAACACGTGGTCTGTCGTAACGTAATTTGGTAAAAAGCCAATTTGACATTTGCTCAGTACAT